CATAGCCATATCATGTCAAATTCCAACAAAGGCCAGGAAATGCGTCGTTCACACTTGTCGAAAACTCTCTCTCTGCATACGCTTTTACCTTCTGCAAAGCAAACTATAGGAATGCTATTATATGAAAGGAAATTGAAATTTATTTTTCAATAAATTCAAGAGTAAAATCTTAAATTGAATTTAAACTTAGATCGAGTGAAAAAGTGCTGCAAACAAATGCTGATTAAAAAGATGGATATTCACCGATAGAACAACATTGATAAAAAAATAATTATGTGTAAACGCTAGTAATTATTACTTAAATTCTCCCAATATATTCTTAATTAATCTTAATTAAATTGAATAATATCATAACTTAATAATCATCCTTTACAACTTATCACTTAATTCATTTAAAAATGTAATATTATTATTTCATATCATATATTAGATAACAAAAAACAATCACACAAGATTACGATAAGGTACCGGAAGTGGCTACCTGCGGTGCTAACGCCGTCAGCGATATGCCGGGGTGGCTTTGATGTATGCCGATAGTGCGTAAACATATTAGACAACGTTCCCACACCACACTATGTTACTTATTAGATGTTAGTTATGTAACTTAAAAGAAAATTAGTAATATTTTCATATTTTTGTGACAGTGCTACTGACAAGTAAATTAATGAAAAATTTATATCATCCTGAAAATGTATATTAACTCTAACTTAAACTTATTAAAACCTTTTTCATCTATCCCAAATATAAGATTGGGTTATGTATGTCATGCATTTTATTAACGTAACTCAAAAACCCTTTATTTTTATTTGGTAGATATAAAAAAGTCAAATAAATTGTGTAGACAATAGCTAACACCTGGTAACGGTACAATACGCCAAAAATTCAAGCAATTATATGGACAATCATCATAATAGGGTGCGCGAGTCTGTACCTCGGCAATTTATGAAAATAAATAAAATTCCGGCAAAACTCGACCGGCTGCCGTTCGCGCTTTGTCCTCGTTGAATTAAAAAAAACAATACGGTCTTGACAAACGAGTGTACCGATTGCGCTGACACTTCTTAACGACCTCTGACAAAAAGCTCTCGACAAAAATTTTTACTTATTTACATAGTTCCAAATAATTTCTAAACAAGTATCCTAAGGATTGTTCCCAAGTACAGTGTCTATAATCTTATCATGTTACCATTCTCTCAATAAATTTTTATTTGAGCCCATTGTATTCCCTATGTGATACATATTTTCCAAGACAGTTTTCTGCAATATGCATTAGGAATTTTTTTGGTAAAATATTTTCAGTCTGAAAAATTAAAAGATGTCAGAGCCTAAGAACATTATTTATGCACATATGAGTAAGATACAAATATGACCGTAGCTGAAGAGTATAGTCAGACCATAATAACGTTCATTGTGATCGCATGTCTGCCGTCTACCATACATGTAGACGCAAAATTCGATTTTACTCCGTAGCTTAGCTCAAGTTAAAAGCCAAGCGAGGTGGCGTAAAGCCTTCAATTTTCACCAAACCATCGTCGGATAAGCGTCTCGCTAACAGCCTGTCGCGACCCACAAAGCCTGCTGATTACCGCGCCTAGCGCCTCCTCATTATCTCCCGCCCGCCCTGTTTATTTTTCTCAGATAAAGATTAGCCAAAGTGCGGCGCCATTGGCGGGGTGCATCGTAGGGGTGCTAGGGGCGGAGCTTTAGTTCGCCTCCGCCCTCAGCGGCGCTTACAACGCGAGTATGTGGCCGGCGCCATGGGTATCGCACGTCTGAACGCTATGCGAGCGCCTACCGCCTGATCCCGCGTCATGCTTGATATCAAAGGCTCCGCCGACTACCTCAGTCGGTCCGGCACCTTTACCAACTTCTCTATGCTGTTTGCTGGTGAATATCCTATTTGTAATGTGTCGTGGTGTGGATTGTGCGTGACTTGTACAGGTTCACATCATTCCCTTGTAGAGGAATTACGTCAGCCTTTACCACGTGTCTCTAATCAATCACATTAACAACATTTATTTTTAACCATATCTCCGGTATCGTAAGTACAATGTGTTTACCATTGCAGATATTTGTTTCCATTGATCAGTCAACCTTGGGTATGTTTGTTTTTAGAATAAGCCCATTTGACAATTCTTAACGAAACACTTTTACTTTATATTTCATGTATGATATGACATAAACCACAGATATTATAGAAAATGAACAGAATAGAATTGAAAGAAGAATTAAAATGTATTTTTACATGATTCTCCAGAACCTATGGTTACGTTTTAACGGTTTTACAAGAATTTTCGCATTGTCAAAATCTTTACAAAATTTAAAAGTATTAAGTTGTGCAATGGCTCTTCATGTTCCCTCTAGCATTTTCAGAAACTTCTTTTAAAAGAGCAATAATTATGTGTTTTCCACGAGATTTCATTATTAGGCTTAGTACAATGATTTCAAAGCTCTAGTTGAAGCCCGAGGATCAAAAACCACCCCTTTAAATGTAAATAAAACGCGAAATACAAACTTATTTATCGTCGTAAAGATTAGTTCTTTTGCCAGTGGACTCTTGAAACTTTGTCCAGATCTGCTTTTCTTTTTTAAGGCTTTTAATTCATTATTTTACGTGACCCCGACTAACAAGCCATTGTAAGGTCCATTGCCACCTAAATATAGCAATTTCACTTACATTAGTGCTACGATTCACAAGACTTATAGTTCTGATTTTGAAGAGATTAAAGCATTGGTGTCCTAATTATATGTGTCTTGAATACTATGGTACCCGCGATAAAATATAATTAAGAGTGTAAAATCAAATCAAATCCTTTACTGTGTCCCCTGTTTTGTTTATTAAGTACTTACTTTGATTTAATTTAATATTTTTTAATTCAAATTACAAGAACATTTTCTATGTCTTTGCATCTAAAATAACTTCATAAGCTGCAAGTGTTTGTTGGTGAATATGACATCAACGCGATCCGTTTACCTGTGCTAAAAGATATTTTTTTAGCCACCGAATAAGTTTGCTTTCGTGAAATTTTCTTTTATTGATATTTTGTATATTTTTAAGCAACATGCCTACTATAATATACAAACCATGAGATTAATAATTCTACCTAATTAACGCCTTTTACCTTTTATTTGCTTTTCAAAAACGATAAGTAAATAGCAACCAATCACATCATATTTTTTAAGACTTTTAAATAGCTGTATTTTAAAGTCATTAAAGAAATAAAATTAAATTAATTCCGTATTAAAAGCTGTATTTTATTTATGTACAAATCTAAATGAAATTGCGGCAACACGAGTTTAATATGAATACAAGTAGCGTAGATTTCATCGACTTACAGACCCGGCCTTGCGCCGTCGGAACCCCTCAGACCCTCTCGGCTTACGTCGCCTCTACAAAGCTGTAACGAGCAACAAGGGTCTTCATCTCTTAATTGCTAACTCTTTCACACCTTTATAAGTTACCAACTGTCGCCATTTCTGTTTCACATTCTAGATTTTTAAAAGTACAGCTTTGTACTTAGGCTAAAAATAGTGCTTGTTCTTTAAAAAAAAATTAGAAAAACGGTCACAAAATGTTCATGCGGGGTCACAACTGTTTTGTATTTAATGCTGTTCTGTATATTTGATTGTAATAGATGGCATGTTAAAATTTATTTCAAAATGTATGTTGTCCAAAAGAGCGTTCGTCTTTTTATAATTATTTTGTACAACATAATAAAAGTAATGATTTTTTTACTTATGACCAAAAATTATATTTCGTATTCAGTCCTTCATAATTTACATGTTTTCGATGAATACATATAATACAATTCAGATTGTTTCGTCTTTTTACAAGTTATTAGATATTTTCCATGTCGGTTTTGAAATTAGACATTAAAAAACTTTAAAAGCCTTAGTTCTCAAATTAAACACAAAAAACCCGAATTGTGAGTTAAAAATGTACAGAATAATAAAAAAAGAATTGAAGAAGAAATAAATAAACAACAGAGCATATTGGGGCATTGTGGCTGAATAGCGTGACGGTCGAAGGCACTTTAAAAAGCCGGGCATTTCCAGTGGCGTCATGGGTCAAAACGCCCTTCTCACGTCGCAAGGGGTCACCCTTAGCCTTTATCTGACTTACCACCGCAGGGTGGAATTAGGGTGTAACTTCTGAATCGCAAGAAAATTGTTAAACAATTTAGTGCCCGATTATTATCATTGATCGTTAAAACGATTGCGTTGTCTTTTTGAATAGCATTTAATGAAGCGTAATTTTTGATATTATTTTACGTATTATTTAAATTAAGTCAATTTGAGCGTTTTTCCCTTTTACATTATTTATTAGAATATCTACGTTACATACAATATGTTATACTAGCTGTCGCCCGCGACTCCGTCTGCGCGGAACTAGAGAAAACTTATTTAATATTCTACGTGTTCTTCCATACTATGTTCTACATCTATGCCAAATTTCAGCAGGATCCGTTCAGCCGTTCTGGAAATACCTTCGAACATCCGTCCATTAAATCGAGTTTTGGTATCATGTAAACCGATAATTAATCTCGAATCTTTGCTTATATTATAACATGGAATTGTTAATACAATTGCTTCAATTTTAACAGCTTATCGTAATATCAATTGAAAAAACTAATGCATAATTAACAAAGCATTTGATATATTTTTGTATCTTAGAAGAGCGGAAAATGGAACAAAGAAATGAATACAGTATTTCTTAGAATTCTGTACCTTTACAAAGATCGAATATAGGGTTTTTAATAATGTAATGAAGCCTTCATAGTATGTACTATATTCACTATATTTCCTTACATAGTTAGACCTTAAAAGTAAATGAAATGCCTCTTAAATCGAGTGTCTCTTGAATCATCCGTATAATTGTAAATAATACAGACATGTTGCAATTTCAGACGTGGTCTTTTCGTATCCATCAAAATATTTCGATGTTGCAGCAATCTGCAATGTATATAAAAATTTATAAATTTTAATGTTTTTTTTTACAGATGCATCTTACAAGAGCACTTGGTCCACACATGCAACGTCACAGGGTTCACAAGGTATGGCATTACATTATTTACAACTAAGTAAATAAATCATAATAATAGAAGATAAAGGCCTTTGTCATGTTGTTGAAAGGCTGGTAATGATGATGAATATAATGTATCACCACCATCATCATCATCAAGCTTTGTCTGCCCTCTGGTCATATCTTTTACCAACAACATCCAAAGATATACATTAATGTGTACTATTTACTCTTTATTAAATGACAGTCCTAAGTACGATTTTGTGCAATACAACGTGCATAAAATCAAATACTTCTTTCTTTATATATTGATAGTCTAATTGAAATACCAGTTTCTAGTAATTATTAAATATGAATGAAAGATGAGATAAAGTTATCCATTTGGTGACATGATTGATTACAAAGAGCAATTGATGCGACTATGTATTGCCGGCGATCTTTGTTCTGTGCTTACTTTTGATTACATCCTTTGTTTTCCGTATCTTAGTACTAATTTAAATTTCATATTTTGAATAAAGTTTTGAACACAACATTTGAATTCTCTGAGCTCCGTACAAAAGCAACGGTCTTACATAACCCTTGAAACCAGTTCAAGGCCCTGCCGCATTTTTCTCGTTCAATGCAGTCCATGGCGCTCTCGTTTCCTACTCCAGTTTGAATATTTGAAAATGGAACAAAGTAGTAAATAATTAAAAATTAGTTTTTCATTGAATAACAATATTACCCTACAGCACTCCTGCAGGGATTCTTATATTAATACATTGTGTGATCCCTTTCAATCTCTTACAAAATATACATTACAATTAAGCGTAGCAAAGATGCTATCATATCTTGGTAATATGAAACCTGCTAATAAGATTCCATCTAAGAAAAGTTATAAAGATATAACTTACTTTTCGTACATACGTTTGTACCATTTTGTGCATGAAAATCAAAACAATGGGGCACTAAAATGGCGCACGCGTTCGGCAAGCAGGCGACGGGCGCGCGACCGGCACGCGCCGCGCCCGACACCACAATGCAAACTTAATTCTTTGATTGACAGTTACAATATTTCGGTAAGTGATGCAATATTTTGATGATTATCGTTATATAGCGTTGCGACTTTACGGAGGGAGCATTATCGCCTCGTACGCTTCGTTGCCGCGTCCCATTGTCAATGATATCCTCCAGTGTACAATATTTGTCGGATCCAAATGATTAGTATAAATTATGCCGGTAATAGCAAATTTTGTTCTGTTCTAACACTCATTTTTATTTAAAAAAACTTTATTTTATAATAAGTAAAAAGGGTTACCCTTTTTACTTATTATAAAATACATTTATAATTTACTATTAAATTATTACATCAAACAAAATAATAGACAACAAAATTCAAAGATGCACCATGTAAAAAAGTCCTTTAGATGTTTTGAAGAAGTTAATAAGCTAATACAGTGATTTGAAATAAAATTATATTTATTTGGCAAGGTCACAAAAAGCACGTTGTAAGCGGTAACTTCTATTTATTACCGAGTTGACAGATGATAGTTAAACAAAATATAAGCCGGTGTTGTTCCCCGGGGAGCGGCGCCGCGTCGGCCCGTGACGACTTGCTGCCCCCGGACAATGCTTACAAACGATTTGCCCTCTCCCTGGGGAACTATTAGAATCACTGCTATTATATTAGTGTTCAATGAACGCAAAAGCGCTATTTTAGCCTTCTATCTATATTATTTTGTTTCGACCTTATAATCTAATTAAAGACAAAATAATAAAACTGTAGTCAACGGTATGAATCCTAACCCATTTTCATTCCTCTTTTACATAAGTTTAATGCTCAGATTATAAAAATGTCTCTTAAGGTTAAAACCATTTCGACATTTGTAACATGTTGACAATTTTAACACAATTGTGATTTTTGATGAATCGTTTCGAAGACTGATGAAAGTGTTGAAATTGAGGGTCAACTAATAATTCAAGTCTCATACAAAGCGCTTTATAAGGACTTAGAAACGCAAACAAAATTCCTGCGGCGTAAAAGTTAGGTAACAAAGCAATAGATTCAATGTTTAAATTAAATTCTAATTAAAATCACTATTTAACACTATATCATATAATATTATAGTTTTATCGAGAGATCAAATAATACACCCTCAGAGCAGACCCCTCGCAATTTCACCCCAGCGACTTTCAAAATGACCTATAAATAATCAAGCTACAACTTTATTTAAACTTAACGACATTAATTAACTTAGATTTGTTAGGTGACGCCCATAATTAATATTCTGAGCGTTTTGAACAATGTCTTATAACACCGAATTATAATCATGACAAATACAAAGCGTTGAACAACGAACAAAGTTTAGATTAGTTTAGACAAGTTACTGCGTTTGAAACCACTAAGTAGGTATAGGTGAGTTCTTAAATTTCTCAAATTTAATTTTAACATCCAGACATAATATAAAATAGAAAAAGGAGATATAGTAAATAGTACTTTTGATTTCATTGTATTTAATATTGTGTTGGAAATACAAAGAAATATGACTGTTACCTAATTCCGATTCGATGCCTTTAACTGAAATCAACACAGCTACTTTTAATAATCAGCTATCATTTTGTACTTTACTAACATATAAAAACAATATATATTATATAAGATTAAACAGCACTCGGACAGCACCACAGATTAATAAGGACGTGTACCTTAACACGCAAAAGAACAACTTAACCCAAAAAATAAACCGATATTTTCGAGGGAAAACCGACTGTAAGTAAATGAACCTAGCGGTGGCTTCGAAAATTACCTAAAAGTAGCTTATGGTTCAACTCTCTTCTTGCTTACATAGATTACAATGAGTGCGATAAGGATAGATGTTAAGGAAAACCGCTTTAAGCGTTGGGAGAAGCCGTAAGCGCCCCCATTGTTTTGCGTGCTACGGAGCGTAAACGTGCTATACGTATAGAGAAAGCAAGAGCTGTAATTTGAAATGAAAATCGGGACGTTCTGACGGTAGGGGACGTTAACGTACTTTTTCATAGAGACGCCTTAATCGAGTCGCTTCACTAAAGCAACTAACTCGCTTTGGTGCGTTCTGTCACTGTCGATATGAAATTTCAATTGCAGCAACAACAGTATATAGCGTTGATTAAAACTTTTGTCCTTAGTATCGCTTGCAAAAATACAAAATCCTAAGCCTAGAAGTAAGCCAAAGTTATATTAAAAAATGGAGACGTATAATAGCATCAATATAGTCAATTAAATATTTGACAATATTATGCACATGCTAACAAGTTAAAGTAGTGGTTCTTTTTTATATCATAAAGTGGCAAACGAGCGAGCGGCCACCTGAAATAGCTGAAATAGCGAAGTGACCGTTGTCCATAGACATACGCAATTGCATATGCGTTGCCTACCTTTAATCGACGGAGGAGAGGATGCACAGAAAGAAAATATTTTTCCTTGTATTATTGTATAGTTAATTAATAAACGTTGGTTTCTCAGCCTAAAATCTATTTATAAAAGTATCGTCATCTCTGTCATTATCACTAACAAAACAAATACAGTCGGCGTCATATAGATCGTAACAGACAAGATATGCAAATATATAGGTACATCAAAAGTAATCAATTATATCGGTACAACAAAAGTCCTCAAAATAATAGATACATTCACCCTGCTCAAATACATCGGTACATACACAGCGTCAAATATATGAGTACATGCAAGATGCTCATAAATATCGTAGCAGCCACAGCGTCATAAGTAACGAAGCAGTCAAGGTGCGCAAAAATATCGGTACATTTGACAAAATTGAACTCTATCTCTATATACTTGTGATACAATTTGGAATAAACTACTTCTGTTACATTCATTTGACACTTTGCATCAAACCATTTTTCAAAATTTACTAAAAGTATTCGACGCGGATGACAGATATTAGGTAGATAAAACCAACATCAAATTTAAGTTTGTCATCATATATGCTAGTTTAGTCTCGTGGCCTTACCGTTCGCCGCCGTTGGTACGTAAGGTCGGCGGTTCAAATCCCAAGCCACTATTTTATTTTTTGCTATTTAAACTTTTTAATTTTAATATGGAAGCACATGTAATTAAACTCTATCGCCGTAGTTATTAGGTACTTTTTGATATTGCCTTGGACTAATGAGTTTGACCGTTAAAGTACTTTTCTATTTCAAACAAAAATGAAGAAGATAAAGCGATGCTATTGGCATGTAATTTGTTTATTACTCATGTTTGTTAAACTTGTACCGGTAAAAATAACACTTTTACTTTTACCTTTTACTGATACTGATTATATTTAAGAAACAAAGAAAAAAAACTGAATGTCAATATCCAAACTACATCAAATTTTTGGTCGATTGCAATAAACATTCCAGTGTGCGTGGGCGCGCACACATATGTAGATAACACTTGTACGTATAGTACCATTCTTAAAACCGGCAAAGACAATCCACGTTCCGACCACTCACTTCACCCGCGATGGTCTGACCTAATTGTTGTTAACTTTATTTAAATTTCTTTCTACCCGACAGCGAAAATTATAAAAAAAAATTGTCGAGCAAAATTTTACACTACCAAATTTTTACTGGTTATGAAAAAATAACCCCGTGATTGATAAAATGAAAAAAAAGTAGCCTGAGATTCGAACCGGTAAACTTACATATGCGCCAATCTAGTATTATATATATTGTGACAAGGCAAAATTTGATATTAGTTAATACGTATCTGTCATATTCGGCGTGACAAACTTTTATATTTAAGCGTTATGACAGGAGAAGAAAAATATTGGGTTGCCCAGTAAGTTCGTGCCGCTTTATAAGGAAAATTGAAACCCTGTTTTCTTAAATTTTTGGAAATGTTTTTAAATTATATTGGTACGACTCTATACCTAAAACGTCTTTTATTATTGGATAACATTTTAAAAATTAGTTTTTATCTCAACCAATGAAATGAAATTATTCACAATATAGAAATTTTTGTGACGTTTGATAATGGTGGAAATCCGAAAATGAATCCACTTCAGCTACCGTCTATTGTAAGCTTTATATCGAAAATCAGAACGAACTTTCCGGACAACCTATAATGTTAATACAAAGTGTCAAATGAATGTAACAGAAGTAGTTTATTCCAAATTGTATCACAAGTATATAGAGATAGAGTTCAATTTTGTCAAATGTACCGATATTTTTGCGCACCTTGACTGCTTCGTTACTTATGACGCTGTGGCTGCTACGATATTTATGAGCATCTTGCATGTACTCATATATTTGACGCTGTGTATGTACCGATGTATTTGAGCAGGGTGAATGTATCTATTATTTTGAGGACTTTTGTTGTACCGATATAATTGAATACTTTTGGTGTACCTATATATTTGCATATCTTGTCTGTGACGATCTATATGACGCTGACTGTACAACAATATGTTTTTAACGGGGATTTTGGTTTTAGAAACCCACGGTTATGTCGTTATAACTCTTGATACAATAACATGTCATCATAATATGTCATAGTAAGATTTTACAGAACATTTGCCAAAAAAAATGACGTAACAGCGTTGCTAATAACAACTACAGCTGCAGTCTGATGACTTTAATTAAGTTGTGTAACGTAACAGGCTTCCTGCATTTCCCTTTGGTGTGCAAACATCGCCGGGGGCAACTGCCATCCGACAAACGGCCCGACGCCTTGCACAAACAGCTTTACACCAAGAGCCTTTGATCTGTCACTGGATCGACTGCGGTATGCCCCCGGCCAATTTACACGCTTTTATAACTTAAGACCAACTTTCAAACTGTCATCATCCGCTAAACCGCATCGGGTTATGACAGAGGTGTTGTTGGAATTGATTTAACCGATAAATGAATTTAGCAGAACTTTGAAGTCATATTAATTTAACCATGATTCTCACTCCCAAAACACTGGTACATTGCTATCTCAGGTTTTCAATGGGAATAGGAAAGATGAAATTCCTGATTAGAGACGCCGTTCGGATATAAAAAAAATGTAGAATAAATTATTACATAAAACATTTTTAAGAAAATATAAAGCAGATTCTGAGGTTTCTCAAGAAACGATAGCCAACTAAAGTATCGTATGTCATTTGATCGATGCAGTATTGGAATAGTGTGTACACTAGGGGATAGCTAACATATCATATTGGTGGTCTATTTTGAAAAAAAAACTGTGAATAACTATTTACTATTTCCCAAAAAAAATCATACAAAAACTTTTAAAATGAAATAAGTAAAGTTATCTCACGAATAAAGAATCCAGAAACGTTCCACTACAGATTGCATCATAACCACCCCAAATTCAAAGACGCGTAGTTCATAGAATCAAAAATACACCCGAAATCAAAAGAACTTTCCAGATTGTTGCTCTAACACTAACAACGCGTGAAATCTTATTGAGAGCTTCAAAGAGATCTAATTCACGATTGAGTAGATGCAGTCTAAAATGCTCTCTAAGTTCGATCACGAAGGTTGCAATTGCAATAGCTCACACTCCTTAGTCGCCCACGGCATTGTTCGCCCCCAAAGATGCGGCCAATATTATCTGCAGCGATTTGAAGCCCCGAAGCGATCTGATGAGGCTGTCGTGTTAATTTTGAGGGTATCTGACCTCGTTTGCACATACAAAGAGCTACTGGTAAATTATTATGTTAAAAAGAACAAAGGAATATTCAGGATTACTTTAATTTAAGAGTAGTATCTAGAATAGTAACCGTCTGTGGAATTATTTTTCTACACTGGTATTTCTAAATCAATACTTAGAGCTCTCGTTCTACCAAACCTTTAAGAAATTCTCGCTTTTTCCTTATTATTTGGCAGCGCATCTCCAGTTTTTCTGGTACTGGGGATACTTTTCTGTTCCTTAGATTTATTATAAAAATCAATAAGTAACATCTGTTCGCATTGTTCCAGGCTATGGCACCAACTCATTGTCAGCGATGTCGAAATCGACACTGGATGCTCACTCCCACCTGCGCCAGCCAGGTAAGTGATAAATTGCAACTTTATTTATAATAAAAAAAAATTGGTAAAATTAAAGAATTAAGTAACGACCCATAAAATACAAATAAAACAATTACACTTACAAAATGTGACGCTGTGAGAATTGTTCACTTTTGTTGGAGTCCGTAAACAAAACGCCTTGTGGAAAAAAAAATGTAAAGTGGATTTTCAAAGACGATGTTAAACGAAGTATGAATCCAAAGGTTATTTGCGCAGTTCGGGCATATGTTTGTTGACTACGGTCAGTTAGTCATCGCACAGCTTTATTTGTCTCCGACCCCATTGTTCGGACAGTCATAATTTGACTTTGAATAACATTAAGAATAATGTTTGAACATGAAATTTCAAATCACAGAATACGTACAATTAAGTTATTCAAAGTAATTCAATTTTTTTTCGCTCGTTGCTTTAATATGTTCTAATCTTGGCCATGTTCTGCTCTTATCTGTCTGTCGGTTTTCCCTCAGAGCTAATGAAGAGATTTTCATTAAGAGTCGGCGCCCGACGGTCATTGAGTTAACTTACACCCCACTTGCCATTGGACGTGACTAATTTCACCAATTCTACTGAAATTTCTGTCGGCAATAAAATAGACAATAGAATACTTTGAGTACAAACTATGTCTTATAGATCAATCTGAAATATGAGGATCAAGAACAGTCTTTCACCGATATGGTTGTATAAAATCGTTAAAACGTACCGTACATTTCAACGGCCGTAAAACCAGTACAAAAACATATCCTTTCTTTCATTCTCTTTGACGTAAACTGAGATAACATTATGTTTTTGTAGAAGTCTTTTGGTAGTGTAAACTCACGACTACGGTTCCATTACTGTGACGGGAATCTCGGTCTCCATTTCATTAGATAAAGTCTCTGGTGTTTGCACTCGTGGCGGTCGCGTGCCCTCAGTCTACGGGTTCGAGTTACAACAGGGTGGGCAGACAAGCGGATTCTATTTGTAAGATATCTTCATAACCTAAGAATATATATCATTTCTTAGTTCTCTTGAATTCACAAGGACGTGGTTTCGGTTTATGGCTTATCATTCAGCAGTCATATTATATAATCATCTATTCATTATTTATACTTTGATATCTAAGATGCATTAACGCAAAACTTTCTAGTTTTGTTAATACTATTATATTATACTGACAATTGTTAAATTTTCTTTTACAATCTTTGACGAGATTAGTCACAGAAGACACCTTTTAAATAAGTATTAAACAATTTTATCAAAGACATTTGCGACAAATGACTAACATAAAATCTATTTATAATTTTTCTCTCAATCCAGTAAAAAGATAAAGTGAATATTTCTACAATTATCACATTGAATCGCTGAATTAAAATAAAAAAATGAATAACTTCAACAACACAGGCAATAAAAATAAATAACTCGACAAATATAAAAGCATCACTCGTAGCAAACACGATCCCTAATAAAACAAGCGGTAGCGCATATTCCATCACTTGTACACGCAGTTGCATGTCTGAAGACTATTCCGTAAACTGTGTAAGTCAAGGTGGGTACTGAGGCGCCTCGCTTTTATCAAGTGCTGGCGTCTCCACTGCCGCTACTATAACAGTTGCTGCCATGTTTATAACCCTTTAACATAATCTATTTCGACACACCCTCACGGTACAACAAATCATAACAGATAATATTCCACCAAAGAGCTTTACATTCAGGAGCGTCGGAGGTTCAGAGGTAAAACACATGAAAACTTATCTTCTAGTAAGTTGCTCGCGATCTTCTGCGCAATATTAAAAAAAAGGATAAAAAGTATCTCATGTGTTACAAAATACGTTCCATATTTGTGCAAAATTTCAATAAGATGTGGAATCGTCGAAGTGTTATCGAGTAAATATGAGAATCAAACAAACCTCAATGGAACCTATGTGTTTTTCCAGACTGTGTTCCACATCTATACTATCTATCCAATCGGGATCCTTGCAGCCGTTCTGGAGATACCTTGTAACAAACATCCATCCGAACATTCGCATAAACATTTATAATATTTGTAAGAAGTAAAAAGTAAGATTGTACGTGTGTAAAATAGAATGTTAGATAGCTTGAAACCGCACGCGGGTTGGGCGTGTCGCTCCCTCCCACGTCAACCGCAAGCAAATGGAGGCACTTAAGCAATGAGCTCGATCCACGACACGTTCGCCGACGAAGATTGACACCGATATAATTGCAGTGCGACCTCATAAAACAATGTTATCCGCACGCGTTTGATCGCCACGCCGCGACGCAATGCAAACACAACTTAGTAAACAAGGGTCCGTGAATGAAAATACAGTGATTTTTTTACACTTACAATATATTCAAACCTTTACAAATATATTTCCTTTCGTATTTTTTACACTACATATGTATATTCTTTAGGAACTATAAAGATGTAGTTACTATAGCATTTTATTAAATTCCTTAAAGTTTCAGTTCACTTTACAAACATAATTGTATTGAGGAAATCTATCAGTTATAAGATTTTTTCCTTCTAAATCTTCCGATTACTTTCTTTTGATCGTCTATCTACGTCTTATTTAATGGACTCATCGTGTAAAAGCAATTACGTGCCAAAATTTTCTTCTCCTAACGAAGAGCAATGTCGAAATATATCTTTGGGGCAAGCATTATTGAATCCGCGACAGGGGAATACAAGCACATAGGGTTGCCACTCAACACATTTGCCTGAAAATGTAATAATTCATTTATAATACAAAAACCTCACTAAATATTGCTAGAATTGGTTTTAAATTGAGATTTAGACGAGCAAAGGGTAAAATATCCTTGACTAACTCTTTTTTTACCACTAAAGTTGATTTCTCTTCTTAAATCTGCACTAAAAAACTAAAGCACCGCTAACCTACTTTGGGTATCACAAATAATCGAACTCTAAAATTATTTTGTAAAAACGTCAAGGTTTTTTTTCATGTCAAAGGATTATATTCCTCGCATATCCTACAGTTAATCAAAATAAAGATGTTTACATATTTAACCAGTTTACATTTCTTACATCCTTAAATAATAGTTGTGGGGTTCCGTTAGACGCGCGCACCAATCTCAGCCGTTCCCCCAGCCGTTGATAATGCACCAACGACTATTAATTATCCCTTTATTATTATTTTATTGCCTTTACATCCACAATACTATTATCTGTAGATATTCACAGCATGTCCTTAGATATCGCTTTTGTTTATACAATTTTAAGAGCACTATTATAATATCGAATAATAACTCGTTCTACTAACGACGTAAATATGACAGATTCAAGTTTAATCCTTCCAAAGAATTTGTGTTGTCTATTTAGATCAATCCGTTGTACGAAATCCAAATGTTTTTTACAGATTAAGGCTCCAATTGGCATTTTCATTTAGGTTGACATATTATGTCTATTCTTTTACCAACAGAAGAGCTATAAAATAAGAATACTGTAATAAACATTTGCGTCAAATCTTTTATCAAGATCAAATAAAATTGTCGCGGAGTGTCTTTTGCGGGGTAATTGCGGGATGTGTTATCCCGGTATCGGATATGCACGTCCGCTCGTCTCAATAGCCACCGCACTCGAAGACGGGCCGCCTCTATTTTCTTATTACCAGGCACGTGTATTACATTTTATAACATATAGATGTAGAGATATTATTTTGTATGAGTTACATAAGTATTATCGAATTTCGTACCAAAAAGCTGGCCCACGATTTTTTCGTTATCGGAAAAGGCAGTTCTTAAATCAAATATACTTTTGCGAGTACCAAAAAAACTCAATTAGATATAGAACAAACAAGGCTTCTTTTCAAAGGACTTGAAAAACCAAGCATTTCAGTCAAGAGACAACTGTTGTCGAACAGTCTTAAATCTAAACACTAAATTTGGATGTCAAAAGTCATAAAAATGATTCAAAGTAGAGTTAAAGCTGGACTAGATACGCGTGTACTTTTTAAACAATAACAGCTTATTAGCTTAAGCGATAGGATATCGATCGCCGGGTGTCTGTACATCGGACACATAATTGGAATACAAATTCGTTCTTTGACGCCGCGGCCGCACGTAGAAGGGTCCTGCCGTGATTTGGCCTTTTGTGCGTCACGCATTAACTCTTTCAAGCCTCAAGCTACACTCTACCCTGCGTTACTATGTGCATACAAAAATAAACCTTATAACCCAATGTTACAATTGCCATTTACGCTCGACTGCACGCATGATCGACGATTTTGGATTCACATAGTACGCAATAAGAACTGTTTCGCTTACTGAAAAAAAAAATAACATTTATTGGAACTTTCCATTCCTGCTCATCGAATATTGTACTTTATCACAATACAACAAAGAGCATTATAGCTCTTCGGTTATTTGTAGTATAACCATTGAAAGATTAGTGCTGGTAATGGGCACGTAATTACAGCAGAAAGGTGGACATTACGAGGTTCATTTGGCGTGCACCAATCGCCCGAAGGGTTTCGGAATATAAAGGGAATTATCCCCGCGCTGATTTCATTTAACACCAAACATTGTGCTACGTAAACCACTTGTGTGCTTCCGAAAACTCAATTAAAATGCTCGTAAAATAATCCATGATCGTATTGTTTATACGCGTCCAGACAAAACAATATCGTCCGAACTCGATAATCGATTTCGATTCATTTTTGATTATTAATTATATTTTTTACTATCCATGTGCTTTGAAATTTACAATAAAAACGACTATCGTTTAGGATGCTAAAAAATACTTTTGCAATCCGTACCATATACAAAGTAAATTAAAATAATTTTCGGATCACTATACCAATATATAATTTAAATTGTTCGTCTGCTCTAATGGTTAATCCTTAACATCTTACTTTTAGTCCTATACTTCTAGTCCTCTTGAGACTCATCACAAAACGTCTATTTCTACTAAACTTTGACTAAATCTTCCAAACTCCAAACACGTTTATTGATGAAAGCTCTCAACACGATTTCATCTGCAAGGCTACAATTCCGCCAATAAGCCGACACAATAAATTTTATACGAGGGCGTCATGTTTGCTGTGAGAATGTGTTGACCCACGCACCCGCGGGGAAGTTGACTCGCTGGCGACGACGTAAAATCGAAATATCGCCACATCAAAATAAACTGGTATTCGGTTTTTTTGATCGAGAATACTTTCAAAGATTCTTATGAAAAATTTATTCGTTTACGACAATATTTTTGTAAGAAATTACACAACAGATAAGTATAACTTCGTGATTTTTATATAAAAACGTAATATAACCCAAGGGTTTTTGTCGCTTATAGTTTATTACTAGTACATACCTCAATACTATGTTGGTCCTACCAAGCGCCTAACTTACATTTATTACTATAAAACAAGAGCTAAGTCGGGCGAGACGCCGTAGAGCTGGATCTGCGGGAGCTACAAGCGATGGACTGGCAGGAGAAGGCGACTTTGGCGATCTCTTGTGTCGGAGGCCAAGACCCACTTTGGGTCGATGCGCCAGCGGAGTAAGTAAGATAAATCGAAATTATTTTGGTAAAAAAAAATAAACACGACCAAGAAGACGTGTAATTATGAAACCCCTAAAAATCATAAAACCATTTATAAGATCAAAATCGAATGATCTCCCCAAGAATGGCAGAAAACAATCAAATCGTCAATCGTATGACGGGGAACAGAAGTCGCGACGCGACCGGCCCACCAATTCCGATCGCAAATGGGAAACGTAATGACTTTCGACAATTCTATTTGCCGACTACACGATATATAACTTCGTTTGTGACGATCACAGGTGATATTTGAACATCGGTACCGAATTCAATCGACTCAAATAAGAAATCAATTGAAAAAAGCAAAAGCAAGTCTAACAACTGATTACGGAATCTGTTACGTTCATCTTGAGTAAATCCACCAAGGACTAAACTTATTACATATCATAATATCATTTGAACAGTTCACTTGAATTGTTGAGGTATTGTGACTTGTCTAAAAATACATAAAACCATCACGCGTATAAGTTCAACTTTAACCTTGTGACCCTTCTTAAAAAATTATAATACATTTTTATTAGATTGTAAATAGTAAAATCCTGTATGGAGGAATAGTACATACTGTACCGACCCTCGATAGGGATAAGGGCAGGTTGATGATGATGATGATGATAGTAAAATCCTCGATGTGAAAGTATAAATAAGCATACGAGTAAACCAAAGAACACGCACGCATAGAAAATTCGATTCCTGCCGCCGAGTTCCGTCATCGGATGACACGACAGACCGCCAGGTTCCATCCACACCACCTGGATGGCTGACATTCCACAACGGTGCGATTCTCGCGCAACTTCTTGCCTCGCACAGCCGCGTTGTGGAACGGTCTGTCCTCGGCGGTATTTCCAAACCAATACGACTTAGGGTCCTTCAAGAAGCGAGCCTATCACCACCTCAAAGGCCGGCAAAGCATCTGTGGTTCCGCTGATGTCCATGGGCGTCGTTGAACACTTCGGTGTTCCCGCTGCTCGTTTGCCCCCTTCTGTTATAAAAAAAAATAGAAAATTTAATCGGGACTCAATTTTTTCACCCTAAAGAGAATTCCTTTCACAAATTCGCTTGATCCGGGTTACTCAGCAACTGAATCGATGATTTTTTGTACAAAAGTTAGTTAATTCATGAAAATTGTGAGAAATCGATAAATTACCTACATGTATTTAAAATCGATTTTTAATTAGTAATTGTTCTTTTGTGAATTAGCTGTTCTTTGTATTGTCTCCCTTATAAATATAATCATTCTGCTCGGTAGCTCACGCAATAATCGCTCGCAGAACGTACCTATACTTAGGGTACAGTTATATTTATTTTTTTTATTCGATATTTATTGGATTATTTTATAAATTGAAATACAACTATTCTTACGATATGTTTTCATTTTAATATCACAACTGAAATACATTTCGCGTTTATAATTAACTTTTGAAAAACTTTTCTACTTAGTAATGTGGTAAAATACGTTTAAAAATATTGAATTAAATTGTGTGTACTTTGTATTGTCGTCTTAGTCATGTCTAAAAATAAATGCAAAGTTTGTTACAATTCTATTTTAATAACTAATTACCATAAACAAGATTGCTAAGATAAATTGCATACACCATTCCGCGTATCGCTTCCGCTTATCGCTTCCCGCCGGCAGTCGCGCCCTACACACAAGCGGTGATTTATCATAATCATCTCGATTAGATCGCGCCTCGCCCCTTCGACTCGAGGCCATTTAACCACCCTCGATTTAACAGTTATTTTCAAGCTTTTTTTAACTGGAAATGTGTCTTTTGTTACGTAGCTTAGTCACTGCACCAATGACTCGCACTATGAGCATCCATTCGTCTTTTTAAATGATGCTTTGACGGGCTTTCTTCAGTTATTTTTCTTTATTTGTGACGAGCTAACATTATTTATTTTATCTAACGGAATTTGGCATGAATTTCATAGTTACAATAGCAAAATCAAATTAATTCAAAAGTCTAAACGATCAATATTAAATATTTCTAGGCTTAGTTTTACTTCTATGACAAATTTCAGTGCGTTTCATGCAGCTGTTTTGGAGATACCTTCTAACAAAACTAAATAAATCCATTAATCCGGATGGATACATACATACTTTCAAACATTCACATTTGTAATATTACTAAATCTAATATAATATAATCTGTAGTGTGTACTTGTATAAAGCACATAAAAAGATAAATAAATAGATCAAAATAGAAGAGAATGATATTAAAATTCTTTATAACGACAGTTTAATCTATATATATAAAAGAAAGTCTTGTTAGTTACACTACATATTTAAAACTCAAGAACGGCTTTACTGACATGGCTGAAAATTGGTGAAGAGGTAGCTTAGAGCCAGGATACGGACATAGGATACTATTTATTCTTTTTTGTTCCGAATTTATGCCTCGAAGAGCTACTTTTTATTTAAATTACTAATATTATATTATAAATGCGAATGTTTAGATGGATGTGAGTGGATAGATGGATGGGTTACACTAATTAAGTTTTTGTATATCCACGCGGACGAAGTCGCGGGCGACAGCTAGTTCTTTATAACGAAAGTACATGAGAGAAGGGCGATTCGTCACAAGGGTTGTGCTTTATAACCCGTCGCCTAACTCGAGTATCGTTAACAATTACTATTTTATTATTTAATATTAACAATGCACGAGAACTTTAGTTAGGGGTCCCACTATTGTTTCAGTCTAAAAGCGATACCGTGACGAAAATGCAAAAGTAGTAAATGTCTAATAAGGCCATAATAATCTTTAATAAGTATTAAAATTTTATTATAGATATCTTAACAAATGTTGTAAAACAGAAATATGCCAGGTTTGATTTGGACCTTGTTAGCATCAGATATTTGGCGGGAAAGAAAATGGCAAACTGTGTGGATATTTAGAAATTATAAAGCTAAATTAATGATTATATATTTTCTTACATAACTGTAAAGCGTTTCGTACACAAATATACAATACTTGCGTCGCGAGTATCGCGTTTGCGTTGTACAAGAACGTTATGTCGTCCACGCAAGACGTCTATTCGGTTAGTACAGGCATAACGATTATAAGTCAACTGTGTGGATTGGCCGCCATCTTGAAAATCGCAGCCATTTTTCACACTAGGCCCTTAATAATTTTTTAAAAAGTAGAGAAAGAATATCATGAAAGTGCAAAACAGTCGAATAATCAACAGTAAAATTATTTACTGTCCTAATATAATATCAACCTTTTTTAAAGAAGATGTTGATTCGATTGGATGATTTGGATGGCAACATGTTTTAACACAAGTGTTTTGCTAGTGGAAACCCATATATTACAACGTGGAAATGTTATCGTGATCGCAGTACTACATGACGAGGTTTGGTTAGGGCACTTCTATCTATGCTAATGCCACGGTTGCAGGTCGACGCTCATTAAATCTATTTCGAATGCAATCTACCGGTGTGCATGTAATCACGCTTTTTAGGCTATTTTGTTGTTGGTTACGTTACCGTGGTAGCTCTATCTAAAGTTTTTAAAGACTACATTTTTCGTATTTAAGTAACTTAAATATTTTACGTCATTCCTAAGTTTTCCGAAGAGGCACCACATCATCTTACTCTTACTATTATTATATAAACTAGCTGTCGCCCGCGACTCCGTCCGCGTGGATATATAAAGAACTTAATTAGTGTAGCCCACCCATCCATCTATCCACATCACATCCATCTAAACATTCGCATTTATAATATTAGTAAGTTAAATAAAAGCAGCTCGAGAAAACAAAATTGAATAAATAGTATCCTATGTCCGTCTCCTGGCTTTAAGCTACCTCCTCGCCAATTTTCAGCCATGTCGGTAAAGCCGTTCTTGAATTATAAATAGTGTAACTAACACGACTTTCTTTTATATATAGATTAGAATGTTTAGATGGACGAATGGATGAATGTATCTCAAGAACGGCTGAACGGATCTCGATCAAATTGGATGACATTGTCTGGAAGAACACATAGGCTACTAATTAAGTTTTTTTTTTTAATTCCGCACGGACGAAGGGCGACAGCTACAGTTATTATATTTTTAATGTGTATACTTTATATACCTATAATATTATTGATACTTTATTTCTTTTTTACAGATCCATATCAGATGTTTGGTCCAACTAGCAGTCGTCTAGCTAATTCAGGTAATTGAGCAACTAATAACAACATTTGACAGGGTAGGGAAATCACCATAAGGAAGGATAAAGAACACTGGACAATTTAAGTGTGTCGTGTCATTCGATTCGTGTTTTTTAACAAAATGTAACAAGGTTACAATCAACCTCATACTTTTTTTAATTACTTATATAGTTTCATAAGAATTTGACTTGAAAAGTAAAGGAGAGCGATCGAACAAATTAAGTCAACGTATTATAAGATCGTACGCGATAGGAATGTCGATTGATTACAAGGGGTCCTAGCAAGTGGCAAGTGGCGATTGCTCAGTACAGCAATCAGATTCTAACTAGCATGGGGCAAGTGTATAGGGTAGAGACCCCATGCAGCTAATGCAAGAGGTCAATCGACCATTGACTTGATTGCTAAGTAATGACTATCACAGATAAGCATCCATAAATTAAATTAATAAATAAGTAACAGTAGATTCATGGTTCTTCTTTACCTTTTTTAACTGTATGTATTTCGTCCATTATGTCGTAAAAAGTACAGACCTATTTTTCTTTCAACGTTTTGTGACAATTGTTAGGCTTTTACAATTCTTTGTCTAGGAAAAGAAGATGAGAATAAACGGACTACTTATCATGCCTTTTTGTATCCTAGGGTTGCCAGATATATTCAGAGAATTCAGCAGTATTTTAGCGTTTAAAAAATATACTGAGCCCAGCCCACACAGAATTCATTGTCTGCTTTTTTCTTACTTTTTCCGGAAGCCTTAGATTTCAACCGTATTTTATCGTTTAAAAAAAAACACTGAGCTCAATCGGAAAATTATTGTCTACATTTTTGTTACTTCCTCCTTAAGCCGCACGGAATCAACAATCCTCTCCGAATACAAGGTTTAGTATCCCTGTTCGATATGACAGCTTCCGGTGATCGACACGACTGCAAACCAGATATCAGGGCTTCTTTAGTGCACTAGTCTAGCTAGAATGAACCATATTATACCCTCAGACAATCGCACACACGTCGCGGAACTGTGAGAACTCCCCTTATAACTACTATTAATATTTAATTCTAAGCGTAGTAGATGTAAGACTAGATCTACTTATATAAACAGTTTAGTTACACGCGATAGATGACGTAGATAAGAAGTAGTTTTCATATGGGAACGCTGGGGTCAGGAGCGCACGCGCTATCTATCTGATCAGCCCCTGAACTCCACATGTTAATGAGGTAACGGTGCCGTCGGCACGCCAACGCCCCTTCTAACACGACATCTGACCCGTGGTAGTACAAGCAGTACCTACACCCAAGGTATAAAGGGATTACAAACTAGATTGAAAAACGCCTAGAGTTGTTCTCGGGTACTAAAGGCTTATGTGGTTACTCAAACGACTTTTAGTAAAGTTTAGCAGTAGTTCGATAAATTTTCTGCTTTATTCTTTTGCGCTTATAAAAACTATAACCTTACAAGGCTAGTCTATTCATGTTCATTTTTCTTTATATATTCAATTAGCTAGCCTGGTAATACGTCCGCGAGGAATAAAAAAAATAATAACAAATACAGCTTATGTTATTCAATGATATTGTAGTTTTCTAATGGCAAAAGAATTTTTTAAATAGTCTAGAAGTTTTGTAGTTTATTCGTTACATTCAAAAACACAAATCTGACCTATGTATAACATTGATGTATATATAGATGCAAGAAACAAAGTTTTGTAATAAACTACCTCTATTATAATAAATACAACGTATTCATATTACAATTTTTAATGTATAATTCTTTACACCTACATGTCTGACTAATTAAAGTCAAACTTCAAAATCAAAGCATATAATTTCGAGGTTATTAAGGTCACGCCACACCGGCGCGAGCGTTTTTAGTCCGTGCCAAAACAATTAACGCCACGTGTCCACCCTGGACCCCAAACACGGACCACAATTCCCACGATACTGGTTTGACTCAACTCACCTGTAGTCGATATGCCCTTTTAATATTTTAAGTAAATTAGTTATGTTTTGGTAATTAACTAACACATTTTTGGCAAACTTGGAGAGGAGAAAAGATTGGTTCTAAATAGTAAACCTTAATTTATAACTACTAAGTTAATGATCGTATTCGTTAATTTGAATTATTTACTTTGTGGTAAAATCTAAAGTTGTATTGCGCCTTTTTCACTTCTTAGTCAAAAAAGTCGTATAATATTTTTAATAACATGTCAACTTTGGTGTAGACGTAGATTGTATATTGACGTATTCTATGCGGATAGTATTTTAAGAGAAACGACATGGGGATATTAAGTTGTGACTAGGGTATAATCGATCGGATATAAATCTCGTGATGTTACGCTCGTGTGAACGGGCCTAGACGCGCGGATAAGAGGAGCGTTGACAAAAAAAGTAACATATTAACTATTGTTTTTTTTGTTAAATTTAAATCGATATTACAACATAAATATTATAACAAGGAAAAGAACATTTTTATTTATTAACTAGCTTATGCCCGCAACTGCGTCTGCGCAGTATTGAAGGTTGAAAAGCATCTCTAATACCCTTTCATCTAAACGTCTGAATTTTTAATGTAAGTAAGATTAAAATTAAACAACGCTCCAGTTCAACAGTTGCTCTGTTGTTGCGAATGCCCATTGGTGTAGGTTAACTTAACATTAGTAAAACCGCTACTCCTCAGTTCCCTTATTTGATTTAAACAATACCTTTAATAACGATAAAAAAAACATTACATTACAATATTTTAATCATTCATGACTGAATTTTCTATCGGTACAGTGTTACGCTTGACGTCGCAAGTCAGTCGTGCGCATACGAAACATACCCGCCCAATATCGTAACGCGGTTCGACCCCGACCATTACTGACTTACTACACGCCTACACGACTGGGCTACATTTATATGCGGCAAGGGATTTTCCTCCCATAGAAAAACACCCAAAATATCTAACTTACAACTCGATGTCACTTGAAAAACAACGTTTCTTTGAAATCGATACGTTATTTTCGTTCATTCATACATTTTTATAACTTTTTTTTTATAAATATGTCTTTTATTTTTCTATGATTTTGTTATTGCAAGCGTATCAACTGTAACTTTTCGACAGAATACACTGTGAAAGAAATTATAAATAAGTACTTGAACAAATAATTGTGGATTGTTTTTCTTGAACAGATGTTATTCAACTTCCGAACATTGTGCTTACAATTTAACGAATTCTTCAATATTGTTTTATTGTAAGAAATCATGGTTAACATAAATATTATTTGTTTCTCAACACGCAGTAGTTACACTTTACAGAAAATAAAAGCGCGTTACATTCCCCGTGCACAGACACCCCTATTTCAAAGTGCAATTTATCCTTTTGTAATATTTCGAGTGTCCTTCCCAACCATTTTCCCTATTCAGTCGCGAGTGAACGAAATTAGCATGGAGACCGACAAAATGGCGAGCGTTGAAATAATGGAGCAGTAATCGCAGCAGGAGCGTCGTGTCGCGCCTTTGCTAAAACACCTCTCGCTTGATACAATTTACCTCGTAAAAGCTACCAGCCAATCGACCAAGGAATCAAATCACGCAATAAAAATAACAACACGGCACATTCTAAAGTTTTTTTATCACACTGAACCCACCTGTTTATTAAAATATCATTCCGTTTATTGTCTTTGATAAAACATAGAATGCAGTACAACACCATTGTGAATTAGAATAACAATATTACTAAAGATGAAAAGATGGAAATATGTCTATTTGCTTTTTAATGTACTTTAAATTGTGAAGGATCTTTTGAGTACTATAACTAGATCTTATGAGTAACAGTAACAGTCTAATCACAAATAATTGTTTTTTTTATACTATTATAATGTAACATTTTGTTCGGTCTAGTTCACACAATAGTAAGAAAGAAACTTCTAGACTTTCTTGAAAGTTATGACTTTCCAATTAAGTGATAAATCCTCAAGAAAGTGATTATAATTTAAATCGTTAGGTAAACACAGATTACGTATTGCGTTATACGAAACATTACGATATTATTTTGTTCCTAGGTTCAGGGCAAATTCAGCTATGGCAGTTTCTGCTTGAACTATTGAGTGATTCGAGCAACGCGGGCTGTATCACTTGGGAAGGGACAAACGGCGAATTCAAGCTGACCGATCCCGACGAGGTGGCGAGGCGGTGGGGCGAGAGGAAGTCCAAGCCTAACATGAACTACGACAAACTCAGTCGTGCTCTGAGGTAAAATATTAACAAGCGATCGGCATTGCGAAGCGGGTACCCGATTTGCTGAGCGATGTGCATTGCGAATGATTCTATTGTTTATTTGCGCTTATGTACAATACAGGTATTTACAGGTATAGCCTTGATCGGGAGATTATCACTTCCTAATATAACTGCGACGTAGACTTACTCCTCTTACGCGTTTCTTCAGAAGAATATACAAAGATTGGTTCTTCATATAAAGTTAAAATTGTAGCGTTTATTTATGGGCAATATGTTACTTAAGAGTAATACTTAAGTGTACTGTTTGCTCATATTCGTTGTAATTAATTTACTAATATTTGATTTCCACGCAGATACTACTATGACAAGAATATAATGACCAAAGTCCATGGCAAACGCTACGCGTACAAGTTTGATTTCCAAGGACTGGCGGCTGCGACTCAGCCGACTGCCAGCGATCCCGCGTACAAATACCAGAGCGACCTCTTCATGAGCTCTTACCATCACTCCGCGAAGCTGTCATCGTTTATGGCACCACACGCTGCTATGCCAACATCCACAGGTACAAAATAAAGACATAATGCAACTGCGAGGGTTACAAATGAAATGTTGGTATGTAATGATTTCTAATTATTAATAATTTTAATGTTTTCTATCCCAAGATATATTTAGGTAGACTTTTAACTTTAAGCAAAGTTTTAGGAAGATATATTTTAGTAAAAATGAGTATACAAATACTTAAGTAACGTCCCCCTTTAAATATTATCAAATAGCTGAATCCTTGTGTGTCGTTTTGGTATTCGTTATTACAGATTGAAATGTTTGTTGAACTGTTGAGAATATGTTTCCATTACAAGTGTTAATATGCACCCTTCAGATGCAGGATTCAATCTGCATCTCGACTTCCCTAAACAGTAAATATTGGTAAAGTACTCGACGCGCCTTGTCACAGCCACGGGACGAGATCGCACTTTACCTAATGGAATAAACCGATTCCAAGTTCCCACTTCACAGATTTCAAAGACGAATTGTAAGATCTAAAGCAATCGCCTTGTATTAATTAGCTTTTCCCAATATATTGGAAAATTAAATTAAACTAAATATAACTAATATTAATTTCCAACATTGCTTCGATACTGTTACAATTCAAAGACTTTAAAAATCGTCTTTTGTGTATTACAAAATTCTTGTGTTGAAACAACATAATTAAAATATTTTGTAGAAATATGATGTGCACTCCTCAACCCTACTCTTTATTTACATACATTTTACAACTGACACTTAAAATTATACAAAAAAATTGACAAATAACATTTAGAAATCATTATGTTTGCCAATATCATTTTATATTTGCTCGCTTCTATGTTTTATGTGCAAAAGAGCGAATTCCATTATTTTCGTAACTTTTTTGTACGTTCCTGCTGATGATAATAACTTTTTTTTTAATGTGTACTTTAAATGTTATGTATATAAGTATTATGTACAAATGTCATAACATAATGTTTAACTTAGGTTAGCAAACTTGTCTTGTTGCAGCGTCAATATTCCCGTCGGCTTCGTGGAGCAACTGGGGCGGAGGGGGGAGTAACCTCTACTCCCCCCACTCGATGGCACCCCCCCACGTGACGTCACATCTAGGCTCCTATCCCCACTACGCATGACCGTCCTTTTAAGACAAGGGCATTGCGAACGACGACAAATTTGTAAAGGCTAAAATAATTTTGAAAGGATCCCCGTAATGTTAGTTAATTCGCTTTTGTAAATTTATTTATGATATTCCAAAGTTCACTAATTTGCTGTAAATTATATATTTTCTGTAAGTTTACTTATTAATGTAAAACCTTTCTTAAAATTAATTGTCATTAAACTACGTTGATTATAGCAAAAAAAATACAATTGTAAAAGTTGAACGCCTACAGATTTATTGTTGCAATGATACATTAATTTTTATTAATATATTGGTTCGTCATGATAACAGCAAGCGTAAACAACTACGAGACATTTCATAAAGATTTTTAGTAACAACCATATGACACAAACAATTTAAAAATGAAAAGATAGGTTTTGAAATAAAAATTTGTAATTTATATTTATGTTATATAATTATTATTATTGTTGATATAATTTATATGTAAAATACTCTCGATATTATGAATAACAATTTATTTTGACATACGCAATACATATGCAAACATATTTTTTTTCATATCGTTTTTTTTTAACTGCAATCATTTGATAAACAAGACTAGTCTTTTATCAAAAAATATGTAAATAATAGACACTCTTTGAATAAGTAGAATTATATAATTTATTAAGGGTATCAAAATAACAAAATTCCTTTATAACTGAAATGTAAATTAAATAGATTTCTCGTGGAGATCATCAAAATTAAATTCCTAATTTTATGATAACCAATTTTTTTTATCTAAATTGTTAAAATCATTAAAAACAGTATTACAATTGAATTATATTAATTATTTGTTGGTTTTTAGGTATATTTTAAAAACCAATTCCTTTGGTTTTTTCCTGTAACATGCATTTTATTGTTTATTATGAACAAAAATATAAATATTTATTTCATAAAATTATACATTTCTCCACAATTATATAAAAATTTAATAATAGTTCGATCCAAAATAGTTGGTGGCATATAATATTCAACATTATTATGTAAATTAAATTAATTATATTACTATTAAAGTAGTTACATTTAACCGCAAATTAAAACTTTTTAATACGTAATAAATAAGTATAAAAATTAATTTGCTCATTTTTTTATAAAATTAATTTGATTATTTTTAAATTAAATCATGATTATTACATAAAAAAATATAAACAACATTAAAAAAAATTAAAAAAGGATGTTTATGAAATTTTCAATTTAAATTCAATAACTTAGCATTTAAATAGCTAATTAAATATATAGCCAAAGAAATAAATTCACTACCCATTTAGAACGAACTACGAAAAATATTATTTTATTTCTTCAAAATATAAAACACAGATAGCTGTGCAAAATAATTATAATCAACATGTCATAAATACATAAAATTATATAAATATGTGATGACATTAGATGTTATGTATTTAAAAAGTGCAATCGTACTAGTATCGATTAGATATAAATTATTGTGTAAGCATAATTTGGATTGAATTATATTTCATTTAATTTGTTCAATTCTGTTTTTTTTTTTATGTTTTATTGAATCTTCAACTGTATGCCGTAAGTAAGTAGGTGTAATTTTGCCAAATAGAAATAATTAGAAGGTTTTCGAACATAATGTTAAAGGTTAATAATTTATGGGTTAACATATTTGTTTAAGATTTAAAAATCACACGTAACTGTGTCACCGTAATGTTGTTAACATCGTCAGCTTGAAATCTTTCTGATCTAAATTAACCAAGCGTTTAGTTTGTGCACAAAATAACTTTTTTTTATATTTAAAACTTTTCTGTTGTTTTCAGTATATAAGTAGATAATCTACTTATAGATAACCATTGTAGTTATATATATTGAAATTTGCACAATAATTCAGTCTAACCACCGAATAGCAAAGTTTTATTTTTTTTCTGTCTAGTTTAAATATAAAATGTTAATCAATTTATTTGATAAGCACATAAGATAATGTTTTAGTCAATAGACAAATGTTTAAACATTTAGTTACCTATTTTTGTGATCCAGTAAAATATAAGTTAATTTTATTTATAAATAAATAATTAAATTAAATGCAATATAAGTTAAACGATTTTCGATGTTTGAAATTAAATTTTATATTCCCGACGGTTCTGTTTTCTCATCAAATACAGTGAGAGTAATGACATTTTACTACAAATGTTTCGCCAGTGGAAAATAGCAAAAGTAAACAGTAATGCTTTGGCAATAAGTCTTGTTTTCCAATGGTTATTGTATTAAAGATCATATTAACAAAGTTCACTAAAGCCCGCTTCACACTTCCATTCCTGCAAATCTTTGACTGTACAGTTAAATCTGTAAGTGTACAGCGGGCTTTATTTAAATGGAACCGTATGAAATATAACATGTTAAATTCAAACATAATGAAATCAATAAAATTAATTTAATACATTATGGTATATTCGCGTAAATATAGGAAATGATTAAATTTAATTTATTTCTCGCATAAGTTTATTGAATATTTATTTTGTCGCATGGATCGATTTTACTAAACAGTTTAGTAGTAGTGTACCGTTGCATGAATGTTATTGTAACTATTTGGAATTGAATAAAAACACTGAAATGTACATAATTTATTTATGGCCATACAACTCACTTCCATGACCCCTGCCCCAAAGCTAAGCTAACATGACAACCTTCATATTAAAAACCTTACTACCTAAATAATTTTCGAAAAAGGTAGTGCCTAACCTTAAAATTATAGAGAAAACATAATCTATTTTATGGTCCGAAAAAGGATGACCTTACATCACGAGCTGTCGCTCGCCGTTCTAAGGCTAGCATAGGAAGGCTTGGCGTTCTTCCAGACTGTATTCTATATCTGTACTTAATTTTATCGAGATACTTTCAACCGTTCCGGGGATACCTTCTAACAAACGGCCATCCAAATATTCAAAATTCACATTTATAATATTAGTAAAAAAGTTACATATGTAACAATTTTTCTAACCCCCTCATATTCTTTGAAAGTTCTACGTATGTATATTTATATCGTTAGATTGGAGATTAAAAAATCCCCGTTTCAAATATAATATTTTTTCTTTTGTCAAAGATATGATGATAATATGTTTTATAAAGAATTTTGATCCCAGAAACCAACGAAGTTATTTAGTTTAGTACCTACACCAACTACCGATTTGCCTGCACTTTTACAAAAAATTATTAACATTCCTGTCATTCTAATAAAAGCAGACTTAACAATAGTGAGAGAGTCTACTAACGACATCTACCACTCTGTCGTGACTATTTTAAAGCAAAGAAACATACGGGATGTGTACAAATTTTTATGCTTCGAGTATAGATGGCGTTAAAATTTCTTCCTAAAAGTTAAGGTAAAATAAAATGATAAAAAAGTGCTTATGATAAAAAAATTAAATAGATTTTAACAATATAATTTAATAACAAATAAGTGTCCCTGAATTATATGTTAGCAAAAATTATAAAAAAGAAAACTTTTCTACTGCGCTTTATAAAACTTTTAAGAAAAAAATGACATTCTTTACGAATTCGATTCGACATTTATTATCCCAATATTGAAAATAAGTATTTTAAAATGCTTGGGAAATCTCTTATTAATGGCATAATACGAGCGAGGGGCTCAATTATGAATCTACAAAATCCTAAGGTTATCGTCCGGAACTATCGTATGGAAGGGCCGCCCCAGCCTTTCGACAATTTACCATTCTCAGTGCCCAACAGGTAAAAGTAACAATATTTATAATAAATTAAATTCTCTTGCAGTCATATTGGGCATATACCCAAGATACTTTCTAGGAACAGGATTACAATCATTGAAATCACCAAAGTATTTAGTCAGTAGATTCTGTCAAAAAATAATTTTGATCACATCTCATAAAATATGAACAAACTGTCTTTTGAGACATATCCTGATATTGTTTTGTAAACTTCTATAATAGGTAGAAGGTTCTATCACTGAAACCTAACAATATGCCTAACCTAATTGCTTTAGTCATATTTTTTTTTTATAAAATCTACTAAATATCATACAGGTAAAAAGATAAAAGAATACACAAATGATAATTATAATTAGCTCTTTATAGTGAAGCAATAAAAATCATTATTTTATTATATCCTTTTAGATATGCAGCAACAATTTTCTTTGTCTTCTTCTTTGGTATTGGATTTTGGGCACCATATGTTGTTTTATGGTACCAAATGGCGAAGAGAACTATGTAATTATGAATAAAGAATAATAATTAAATGTTGTTTCATTATTACAAAGCTTACCTAATGGAAATCATGATTAACCTTTAAAACGCAGTAATCATGTTATGACATCATATCAGGAAAGTGGAATATTTAGAACAAACCCATTGTTTGTTACTTTATGTCTTTTTTTATGTATTAATCAGAATTAATCCATCTCAGTTCTTGATATTCATGAAAGACAGATTTTAATGAATTTAAAGCGTAAATTCATAGAGATTATCATTTTAGGATTCCGAAAAGGTTTCGGCACAAATATGTTGGCACTGTAATGCATTTTGGATAAAGCTTTTTAATGCATGTTACAGAAATAAGAGTTATTCAAAGAAAAATATATTTAACTGTACTAGATAAATTAATCAATGTTATTTTCAAATTGTTGCATTATTTAAAAAAACTAAACATTAATCTCTACTTTTTTTCGTTAGCACTTGTAATCTGCAGGTCCTGTGTACGAATTCCGTCATGTACGCCGTTTTTCTATTAACATATGTACCTCTATCCGAAATTTTTATGGAAAAAGAAAACACAGTGATGCAAACTGCACATATCTGTGAAGAAACATCTAAAGATATGTGTGAGGAGAACCATTCCACAATCATACAGCATTCTATACCTAGTCACTCTAACTTAGGGTAGGCTCCGACCCTCTCCGTGAGGATGTGTTGTGATGATTTGTAATAAAACGCAATTTCAAAACAAACTATTTATTAAATTGCATCGCTAATGAAAGTTGATGTTTTACAGCCAAAATAAGTTATTTTAATATCTTTATTTTAAAATAAAACTTAAGGCCATGATGGAGGATCGCCTTCCTTTACATTTCCTCCATACAAACAAGACTTGTCCCTAAAACTAGTCATTCTTAGTGTTTCTTGATCATCCAAGAACTTTCCAATAAAGAATCCAGTCAAAGGAATTGCAAAATAAATAAAGCGACCGGTAATACCAAAAATAGCCATTTTAATTCTGTTTCAACTGAGCTTTCCACTTCTGTGTGTGGTTCCAATCAAGCCAAATCAAAGTGGCCGTCAGAACAGGGAACGATATGCTCACAAAGTTCCTGCGAAGGAATTTTCCAAACGCCATATACCTGAAAACAAAAAAAAAGTGACTACAGTTTGTAACGACAAATATTATCCCAGTAATGTATATAGTTCCATAGGGATACATTTGATTAACATATTTATTTGCTAAGTCTACACGGGTTCAACATTTTTAATTGATATTTCTATACCTGTGCAAGGTATAGAAAATACACTCAAATAAAACATAGTATAACTATTCATTGTGCTTTTTTTATACCGTGCAGATGAAGTCATGGGCAAGAGCTAGTTTCAAAATATTAAAAAAACACTATAACATTGTTATATAATATTAGCTATATATATCTAAATTTCCGATAAAATACTGAATAATTAGTCAAATAGCAAGATACATTTGATTATTTTAACACTAAAATATATTCCTACTCACACTACTTTGACTTCACTCATTATCTCCATACTTTAGACAAATTCTTTCTTATTTTAATATGACTTAGTAGCACTAGCAAATAACCACTAAATCTAACACAACTTCACCCATTCTCCTAAACAACACAATATTCATGATAAGCAGTCATACACATGTATGAGAGACAGGATGTTTTAATGAGTAGCATTCTGTGAATGTGATGAACATAAGCAAGATTGCTGTGTGAGAGTGAAATATCCAAGAGCCTGACCATTAGTAAGAATATTTACTATTGTAAGCAATACCTATTCAATATCAATACTAGTTCTTATTTGTAGCATTGGACTAACTTTTACTTTTTCTCGTACAAGTGTTCTAACCTCCACATACACTACCACATATACTGTTTGTTTATGATACAAAATCTGGCATGTTAAAAGATGTTACATAACATGAAATTATACGAACATATCATAATACATTAAGCAATATCAGAATGAATTCATGGAATACAGTTTAATGTAGATAAAAATGTGTTAAAAATCGTTGTAACTACCAATTCTTCCGGATAAATCAAAAGATTAATTGCGCGAATTGAGAGACAATAAGTCTAAAAAATATTTCTAAATGGTAACAACAGACTATATACTTCTCTATTATCATAATAATTATGGACAAAATCTGGAAACTATGAAATTCGAAAATAGCATTTTACTAACCTTAATATACAATGGCGAACAGAGAAATATTAGATACTTGGACTTGGAAGTGTATAGAATAGGATTTTATGGCAGTTTTTTGACATTGACGGAGTGACCTACCTTTTTTAAGGGTTACCAATGAGCAAAAATTTTGAAAAGGTAAAATTGAAGGTAGATGTGAAAATAGTTAGTAGTTTTTGAATAGAAAAATAAAGTTAATTTAGATGGTGGTCGGCGCTACGCAATTGAATGTCGTCCGTCGAAAATACTGTGCACACCTATATTGAAAATGCTGTCTTTTATTTTGCTGTATCGCAGTCGTCCTTTATAACCATATTTTATATACTCTTTGTTTATAACTGCAAATCCGGAACGCATCACGAGCTGGAAAACATCTATACTAATGTAAATAGAAATTAGAAAATGGATTTTCAGTAGCCATTTACGTGTACGTTTTAATGCTTTTAACATGAGAGCCTACGATCGCAATTTTTAATTTTCACCTAAACCGTAAACCATGCAACAACCTTAAATATCAACATTACACCGTGGCACTAATCGACACTGGGAGCTCAGTCACATTTATAGATAAAGATCTTGTTCATGCCATGAAGTTAAAAACAAAGCCTCTCAAACAATCTATTTCTCTTGCGACATTAACATAAGTTTCTTTTATAGAAGGCATATGTTATGCTACTATTTGCTTGGGAAATCACTTATACAAACAAAAACGTTTGTTAGTTGTTAATAATCTCTGTGCTGATCTCATCATAGGATATGACTTACTAAAAGTCCATAGTTCCCTTATACTTAAGGGAGAGAAGGAGCCCTCGAGGTATGCAATCTGATGAAGGCTAGTGTACTTCCAGCATCGATTTTTTACAAATCTATTTGCGAATATCCAGCCTATTGCAATCAAATCGAGGCAGCACAGCGATGAAGATAACCAGTTCATTGCTGATGAGATATCTAAATTTTAACAGGATGAAGTTATTGAAACTAGTATATCTCCCGGCGTGCCCAAGTTCTCGTCGTTGATGATCGGACTATCAATAAATATACTGTTTTAGATGCGTATCCCCTCCCGAATATATCTGCACTAGTATTGAAAGTTACGAAATATAATTATTTTAGTTAAATAGATTTGAAAGCGGCTTATCTTCAAGTACCAATCCTAGTTAAAGAGAAAATATTCACTGCTTTCGAAGCCTGTAAACTCTATCAATTTATTCAACTTAAAATTAGAAGCAAGTAACAAAGAGAATATAATTAGTAAGTAAATGGCATAATGATTGACATAACATATCAGTATATGAGTTTGTCATTAGTGATTTTTTAAAGTTTCGCTATTAACTTTGTCAGTAACTTTTTGTAGTATTAAATTATAAAAAAAGTGATATCAACTGCTTTGTTAAAATCATTGCCACAGTAGTTTAGGCGGTTCGACAGCTTATACTGTACTGGTTTAATGGAAACACTATCTTTAAAACAGACCCTGCCATGCCTGTGTTATTGTCCTACTGTACCGGCATAATGTAAATCAAGCATAAGATTCTTCGGGCTAGGTTTGGATGAGCCGACAAAGAGTTACTATATTTATGAAATGGCAACCATCTGGCAACACTATCGTGACGTCATAAGTTTAGATCTTTTATATACTCTTTGCTTCGATCGATGCGTAATTGTTCGTGTGCGGTGTTCGTGTTCCCTTCTCGTACTCGAATATAAAATGGCTGTTTAGAGTTTTATTTCAACGATATATATTTTAACTTTGTTCAAAATATATGCATAAATACATTTAGTAGAATGTTTAATTTTATTCTTTGTGTAAAATCTATAGAACTACAGTACAGTGAAACATTTTATGAAATCAATAACTTGTTCGGTTAAGTTGGTGGGGCTTGCAATTGTCCCTTTCTTTCGTCTATCGTTTTCTCGGTCCATTTCGTGTCGTGCGTTCTCCTTGTGTGCAGTGTCGTTCCCGATATTTTCCTTGATAACTTCTTAAGAAAACCATGTTATTTTTAATGAAGTAAATTTAAAGAAGTATTGGTGATGTTGACCTTAGGTTTATTGTTATTTTGCAAAAAACCATCCTCATTTACCGCCACGGTACGCCAAAAATTTAGAAAGCTTCAACCACGTTTCGGATTTCGATTGATGAAACTATGAACCTGGACTCTTTAACCTTTAGCTTATCACGAATCCATTATCTTGTTATAAATTTAAGTAAGAAGAACTTCAAGCAAACAAGTCAAGAGTTGTCACTGGTGAGTGAAAATTAATTTCATAGTCATTCTTTGTTTATCGACTGTCGCCATATTGGCAATAAATTGCCATTTCTGTTTCACGGTCTGAAGTATGATTTTTTATTAGTGAACATTGTTTAATTGAAATATAAGTGTATTTGTGTGTTTTACATATTGTTCTTATAGGATTCCAACGCTATAACATTATTTCCTCAATAACATATGTGTTTTATTTCTGATAAGATTATGTGAAGAAAAATTGTGTCATCAAGGTGAACATGGATTTTGTTGAGGGTAGCTAGTGTCTGAACACTTCCTAACACATTTTGTTGCTTTGCTGAAAAACATGGTAGTCTTTTAATCTGTTATATGTACTCTCTAATCACCCAAATTACACACTCATAAAAACTTTAGTAATAAAATTAAAACATGTACATTTCACTATGTAAGTGATTAATAATAAAACATACTAACTAAATTGTCAGATAAACAAAAAGGACATCATCATAAAGTAAGTTATAGGTATGAACATTCAGAAATGATGGGAGTTGCAATAGCGTATGAACTGTATACTGTTCCAAATGAGGGTAATCCAAAAAAAATTCTATGCAACAATTTTTTTGAACTCTTGTGTTTGATTGGATAATTAATAATCATGCTACTATTATAAATGTGAATGTTTTGATGTTTGTTTGAGGGGATAGGCTAAATGCATCTCAATGAAATTCTGCAAACATATAGACATATATTATATTTATTATTAATACAGCGCCGACGTAGTTGACAGCTAGTTAAACTATAAATGAGAAAGATTTCGTACGGATTAATTTTAAACCAACAAACACATTTTAGAAATTCTTTATACAAGATAATAAGTGGAATTGATATATGAATTTAAGTTTTTGTGATTCATTAAATATGAGAACAGAGGGCTCAACACTGCAATCTCTGTTCTCTAGTTCTTCATAAAAAAGTAAAATCTATGAACACAGTTATGAGAAACCAGAGAGTATCTATGATTGCTTGTCTGACAATACACATTCTTTGTTTCAAATGAAAGTAACTAAGTGTATCACTAGTGCTATTTGTGATAATGTCAGTACAATCTTAATTCTTTGGTCAAATGTTTGAGTTTCATGGCTTAATGCTCAAGCCACTATATTTGAAGTACTGAAGCATCATAAAGGAATTATAAGTGTACTAGAAGCCAGGTTTTACAGTGGTAAATGCAAGCAACAATAAGCTGACTCAATGGTGCAATACCATGACCACAAAGATGATGATGTGAATTGGAAGCAATTCAGCATTTTGACTGTTGAGTGTGGTTCTTCGAGACATGCTGTATTCTTTCCCTTACCACCCTTTTTTATTAAAAGAAAGGATGGGTAGTGGCCAGAGGAGGTGGTATCTGGGAAGTGGACATATTCTCTTTTTGTGAATATGTTCTGCCATTAATTTAACATAGGCAATGCATTTATTGTTACATATGCTATGGACAGAGGTTGTACACTATTTTGGCATATTCAGGAGGCAATTTGCTTGTTTGCCACCTTTTATTATATAAAAAAGATTGCCACTTAAATTGAGAAAATGATATAAATTATGTGTACCTTTATGCTGCTGGAGGTAGTGATAAGTACATATGTACATCTATATATATATATAAAGGAAAGTCATGTGAGTTACACTATTTATAACTCAAGAATGGCTTTACTGATATGGTTGAAAATTGATGAGTAGGTAGCTTAGAGGCAGGAGATGGACATAGGATACTATTTATTCTTATTTTTTTCGAATTCCGGAGCCAGGAGACGGACAATTATTCTTTTTTTTCGAATTCTGCCTTGATCTGGTTTTTATTTAACTTATCTATATATAAAGTTTTTTAATATATCCACGCGGATGGAGTCCGACGGGCGACAGCTAGTAGTAAATAAAGGAATCAGTCAATAATAATTACTCTTCAGGAGTTACTAGACATTTAATAGAAGCTTTATTTCTGTAATTTGTTTATGGAAGTAACATTTAAAAAAAAAGTTTACATGTAGGAATTGTTAAAAATGTAGATGTGAGTTAATAAACAGTGATATATTACTCACTGAACTCTTACAAAAATGTTTTTTGTTGTTTGTGGCTTACGCAAGAACGAATAAATTTTACATACATACTTCCAAGTCAACAATTGTTATGGTAATAAACAATTGTTATGATAATAACAGAGGCATACTTATCATTGTTGATATATTTAGCATTGATTTTATCCCTACCTTAAAATGTTACAAAGACATTTGTTGGAATGTTCTGTTTTCAATACATGTACAAATTTGAAATTGTAATTTCGAGTATTTAAATGATAAATGAAATCTATTTTGATGCCACATTTATTTTAGCATCAATTTCATAAGTATTGGAATATTCTTTTACTATATTACTCAGCATATAGCTTTGAATGACTTTGTAGGTCTTAAAATGTCTTCATTTAAAAGTAAAAATATTTGTTTTAACACTTTTATTTATTAGTACTTGTTCAATAATTTCGATAATATTATTAATCTAGATAGATCTAGATTAAATTTTATACAGATGAACAAAACATATTGTGGATAAACCCAAAGGTTACTGTCAAATAATTCTAGCCTAACACTACAATAATATGATTTAACCTAGGCACCACCACAAAATCAATAACATACACACATACCTATCATTTTCTTAAAAAAAAAACAGATAATAATTTGTTAAGGTACTATGGTTACTCCAATGGAAACTTACAGTATTATTGTTTAATATACTCTGCCGCGAACACATATGCACACACTGCTACTTCATGCATATACTACTATTTCTATTTGCTTGCGCAATGTGCTGTTTGTTAATTTAGCCTCGCATGTAGTGTTAACACCATGATATTTTACCTTAAATGCTAGCGAATATTATTTATATCTATATATTTATGTATGTACCTTTTTGTGGTACCATAGTTGGTTGTTATTCACTTTTAGAGGAATTTTTGTTTTTCGTTTACAACCAAAATAAAAGATCTATTATGGTTATTGGTCCACTTAGTGATGGTTTTATTGCTTTGTAATGCTATTGTAAGAGTAGCATAATTATCTTTGTAATTTATACATATATCTAATCATTTTAATTATATGACTATATTAAATAACTGAGATTTAAAACATGCTTTATAGTTATTTATTTTCATAAATTTATATGGATTTTTTTTCATGATGGTCCAATCCATCTGTAATTCTAATCCAAAAAATTATAAACGATTTTGTTTTTATAAAAGTTAACGGTATTTGCTATATATTACGTATTATTATTATTATTCTTTTTTAATCTCTCAAAACTAGTATTTTTTATGTTTTGGGTTAAAATCGTGCAATTTAAGGCGAGATAATGCAAATAAACGAAATCAAAGCTTGCTGTTAACGATTTCATAAAAATCATCGTCGCGGATGTTAGTCGTAGTTACATAAAATATATCGCTGCATAGAGCCATGATGCCGTACTTGTTAAATGAATATTGATTTAATACGTTTGATAACGCCCACCTACACATGCGCTCTTGATGCATTGCGCCGTTGCCAATTCTCCCGGCGGCGTACCTCGGTACCTTTAACGATTTATTGCCGGTGCCCATCCAACACCATAATGGGCAGTCATCATTAATTTTCAAGTTAGTATTGCAATTATTACTGTCGCCTGCGACTTTTTCCATGTCGTGAATAATTTTTTTAGATCTTGTTTCACATTGTCCAAGTAAGACCTGAATAAGGTACTTGGAAATTATTTGTCAAATAAAGTCGTCATTGGCGTTTGACAATGTCGAATTGAGTTGTGAAATACTAACGATTTTTACAGATTAGTATCAGTTCATTTATTTGTTAATTAGTTTTCGTAGATTTTACTTGTACTTTGTGAAACAGTCAAGGCAAATAAAATTATTTAAAATAATCTTTATTCAGTTACTTGTATAGATGTGTTTTTGTAAATTTTTCTACTAATATCAGAAATCATGGTGCAAAATTTTACTTGTCCAGACAAAGAAGTGTCTGCAATATATGGCTGTGCGTTATTAGATTAGTTTGATATTTACTAATGGTTGTTGTAACCTTTTGATTTCTTTTTTTTTTATTTGCGAAATTATGGATGGTATTGTAAATGGCATCAGCATATAAGCGTAATGTTTTTAAAAAGTGCTATAGCAATTGTCATTGTTACAAACATGTCCTTCAATTTTCAGTTTGATTTAACTCTTAAATATATTTTTTTTTTGTTAAACAGATTGTCAGTCACTATGGCTTGGAAGCGGAAAATCAGTTGCTGAGGTCTTTGCTCACGGAAGCAGCAAAGACTTCTTTGGATACTGATCGCACAGGCCCAGCAGTCAACAGCATTCATGCTACTCTTCTGGCTCAGTATTTGGGTTCGTTGTTGAGCCATCCTGCCAAGTCGACTGTCGTCTGTCAGGCTGTGGACAACCCCAATCGTTCTGTGCAGAAGGTATACTATGCATATTTTTTTTATTTGTTTGTGCTTGTATTTGTCTTAAAAATGGGTGTTTTCCCACTTGTTCTGGCAATGGTGTATTTAAATTAACTTCAAATGTTTTAAAGCAGTTGTAAAGAATAATGTTCGGTATGTTATAATTTGAAGTCTTTCGGATAACATCGACATATTCATTGAATATCAAAGATTTTTGTTTTTACTTTTGAGATTTTTTTAGCATTAAATTCTATTGCAGGAATTATAGGTAAACCTACTACATTTGTGCCTAAATTAAGATAAAGACATAGCTCCTTTGAAGAGTTGTTAGAATGTATACTGTTTTTTGTCAATTTTACCATTTTTATTTGTAACATCATAATGGTTGTAATTTGTTATATTGTGTACTGGGTAAACTCAATCCGTTTAAATTTTTATTCTATTGCTTTTCCCCAATATGGCATTGAGGTAAGCGACACATAATCACTATAAAAGCACATATCAGATATTAGGAACATCTAATTTTTATTATGACACTTCTTTCATCCTGTCAAAGTAATACTTCGATCGATTTTATTCGAAAGAATTCTAAGTAAACAATCATCATACACTGAACAACTTGTATGTAATCATCATTATATTACAATATTTTATTAACATTATACTTAACATCAAAATACCATTTGAAACAAAATTAGTTTTTGTAATAATAATTTAAATTTCATCCCCAATTGACTGGGATAGACTGAACTTGTTTTTATAAATCAAGTACATTCTTTGTTTGTGTTATCATAAGTGTATAACTGAGATTTGTTGTATTTTAAATATTTTCAGTGGCTGAGAAATGTTTATTCATTTAAATATATGTTTGGGATTATGTGACTGTATTTCTAGAATTAATCAATGTAAGTATAGGCATACTTGCACTTACACAAATAGTAATTCCTGTGTATGATATGGTAAATGTTGGACTATAAGTTTTTGGTCAGTCATTATAATGGTTGTTTTCAATTCAAATTTATCATCTATGTTGCATAGAATTTGCTGTGTGGAATGTTTTAAATATTATTCTTTGTTGAATAGGTAACAACAAATAATTTGGGCATATTAGCTATTATGGTGACAAGTCCTTGTTCCTTTTTCTCTATGGTTGGTTTCGCAACTCAATCTTAATTTTTACAAAGTTTTATTTATGGAACAAGCTAACAAGTGGCAGGTCAATAAATGATAAGTAATTACTCCAGCATATAAGGACTGCAACCAAAAAGTTACTAATGCATGTGTACCCAAATTGTTTGTCGTACTTGATTTTCTTTTAGGACCCTTTGAATATCCACGTTTTGTTTGTATCTAGCATACCTTTCACTCATTTTATACATGTTTGCTGCTATTATTTGTGGTGTTTTCAGTGGTGCTTACAAGAATTAGTCTTTATACTTTTTATCATCCTTAAGTCCATACAATTGACTTTATTTTATGTATTTTAGGTGGGCTGAAATATTTCTCGTTTTGCTCAATTTTCTATCCCTTCTTATTTGTTTTTCTCATTTTTAAGAAGCTTTTACATAACTAATGTAGCTGATCCTTAAAGTTTATTTTTTTTAAATTAATATTGTTTCCTAGTTAATAAGTAATGTTTTTAAAGTAATGAAAAAAAAACGGTTATGACATTTTCTGTGCCTTACATCTTGTTGACTGCAGCTGGCCAATGAAAGTTTTCAAAGATCTATTAGACACTTTAAATAATGTACAGGTGCTAGTTTGTATATGTAATATACCATCATATTTATCAATATAAAAAAAAATCCAATATAGTTTATGCATTACATCAATTGATATCTACTCAAAATTCCAAATTTAATGACCATCTTAGTTTTTATTGACTCCATGTACAAATAGTGTGAACTGTCAATGAGGCATAAAGGACCTGTCAATTTTCCATTTCACATCAATTTGCTGATACTAAGTCCTGTTTGTGGGCTGTTGCATATGCATGGAAGATGTGTATTATCTCATTTGAGAATTAGAATATTTTAATGAGCACTGAGGCACTTCTCTTCCTTCTGCATGCTACTATCTGTCCAATCTCGGCGTAACTAATTTATAAAACATTATGGAATCTTAATTTTTTGCAGATTTTAAAACCTTCTAACACTTTACTCAATCGTCTTTCAAGATTGTTGAAGTTAACAACTGCCGAAGATGTCACCTTGTCGTTGGTGTTGAGGCGATATTCGTCCAAGACTGAGATTACAGCGCTAGCAAAACAACATCTGAAGAAAAGATTCTTAGATCTAGTACAGTGTTATTTAGATGCTGGTATGTCATATAATTGTAATGCACATTCTCCCTTTAATAGATATTGTCAAATATGTTGTTATTAAAGTCAACAAGTACGTATATTTACAGAGCATGGTCATCAGGCTGAGCGTGCAGGCCTTCAGGAATGCAGCCCTGAAGTTTTGCAAACTCTCCTTATAAGTCTCGCGTACGAGAACTTTCGCCTCGCTCCGGTAACAAAAGAGTTATTTGTGAAACGTTTACGTGTTGACTTCCCTCGAGAAGTCGTGCCAATAGTGTTAGCACCGTTGCTTTATCCCGACGATACACAAACCCCGTTGGAGGAAATGAGCACTGCCGACGACATGGCGGTCGCAATGATGGATAACTCATTAGCGGATATCATCCGCGATATTGGATACAACTTTACATCATCATTCGAAGAATGCAAGAACAACATGTTGAACTTTGGAGCGCGAGAGCCTACCGCAATAGATATTGCGCGTATAATTTCGATGATGGTGCGTTATCATACCACAGTGCCCGATGGGCCCCCGATTCAAACTCCGGGAAACTTCTGGACGAATCACGAAGCAAAGAAAGAGGCAATTACACATGGACATGGAGAATCCTGGAATGCAGAGATATTTGTACAGACATTGAAAGAGCTGGCATCTAACCTGAATTGGAAAGAAGTCATATTGCAACTGGACCATCCAGAATTTATTGTCCCAGACAGACAGGGACTGAGCCTATTGTTCTCCATCTTGCGTTTAGGTCTACAGAGTGCAGGCTATCCATCCAACATATTCCCCGTGGAATATCTATGCCGCAGGTGGACCAACCTGGAAGGACAAATGAGTTTGATTACTAATATTTTGAAACATCCAGATATATTTAGCCTTGCTGATTATCCATTCCATCCGGTGTCCATTGACATTCTCAAGTCCTTGCCAGAAAGTGATAACAAAGAGATAGCCACCTGGAGGTGTCTGTACCTGGTTGAACTGCTGTTGTATGCATCTGAGCGAGGCTACTACATGCAAGTCCATGAGCTGTTCAAGTTTCCTTTACAGCATTGCCCTGACATTTTGATGCTCGCCTTGTTGCAAATAAATGCACCAATCACTGTATTTCAACAGGAATTGCTGTCTACTTTAATACCAATATTTTTAGGCAACCACCCCAATTCTGGAATCATTTTGCAACATGCGTGGCATTCACAGAATCCGAACATCAAACCAATTATCATGCATGCAATGGCGGAATGGTATATACGCGGAGACAGTGATCAATCCAAGTTATCAAGAATCTTGGATGTGGCTCAAGACTTAAAAGCTTTATCGCTGCTACTGAATGTCCAGTCTTTTCCCTTTGTTATTGACTTAGCTTGCCTTGCATCAAGAAGGGAGTACCTTAAATTGGATAAATGGTTAACTGACAAAATACGAGACCACGGTGAAACTTTTGTCTCTGCTATGGTTAAATTTTTGCAGAGAAGATGTCCACCAGTGATGGGGAAACCACCAGAAGAGCAGTTGCCCAAAGCCGCGCAGTTGCCCCCGGAGACTATTGGCACCATGCTGACCTGTTTGCAGCTCTGCGCTCCAAATGTCGTCCAGGAATTGCAGGAAGCTATCTATAATGTGGTAGCGACCTGCCAGACTTTAATCATTAATAAAACAAGACAAACGATGGCGGGAATTGCTCGTCCTCATACAAGAGTCATTGAAACACCGTTTAACCCTGCAGCTTTGGGAGGGCAACTTTTCACTCCGCATGTCGATTCGATAGCTAATCTTACTCCGAATGTCGCTAATATGACCTTAGGCGCACCAGCAAATACCGCATTCGCAATGCCTGGCACTTTAGGGCCTTTAGTGCCACCCCCTGGGTCTCCTTCTCGATTGCTAGGACCGGGGCCTAACAGCCCTTACCCCATGATGGCAATTCCGCATAATCCTAACATTCCCAATATGGGCGCTTTACGAATGGCGCAAATGCCTCCCATGGATAAATTTCGTTTACCCGATCAGATTCATTTCCCTGAAATTATGCACAATGTTTCAAAAGAAATCGAGGATGAGGCAAATGGCTATTTTCAAAGGATATACAACCACCCCCCACACCCTACTCTGTCTATAGATGAGGTGCTAGAAATGCTAAAGAAGTTTCAAGATTCGCCAAATAAAAGAGAGCGAGAAGTATTTTCATGCATGCTTAGGAACTTATTCGAGGAATACAAATTCTTCCCGCAATATCCCGACAAAGAACTTCATATTACCGCTCAATTATTTGGTGGTATCATTGAAAAGGGTCTTGTTCCGACTTACGTGTCGTTGGGTTTAGCCTTGCGATTTGTTTTGGATGCGCTTCGGAAGCCGGAGGGCTCTAAAATGTATTACTTTGGTATAGCTGCGTTGGACAGATTCAAATCACGTTTAAAGGACTATCACAAGTACTGTGAGCATGTCCGTGCTATACCACATTTTAGTGAATTCCCTCCGCATCTGATTGAGTATATCGAATATGGACTGCAGAGTCAAGAGCCGCCCACAAAGCCTCAGGGTGCCGTGTTGCCCGCTAGTCTGGCCGCTATGTTGAGTCAAAATACTGTTGTCACGGTTTCCGCGCCATACAGGTATGTTTTTTTTTACTTTGATTATATTTGCTATATACTAACAACTTGTAAGAATTATAAAATATCTAGCGTTTTTTCTATTTATTTTAGAGCATCGAATTTGAGGGCTAGCATCTATTTTTGTGTATTTAATATCCGCGCGGGTTAATAATATCTAGTCCTCAAGCTCTTTATTATTTTTTTATTCGAGTCTATTTAACCTCGTAATAGTAGCATAATAAATTTTCGGATTGGTTTACTGGTTTATAGCATTTGACGTATGTAGAGTCAATCCAGTAACACCTTTTTTAAAGAGATGTTTCGTTGAGACCATGTTTGAAATACAACATGATCCCAATAAAATATCATTGCAGCTGGTTTTGGTTCTGCATACCTCATCTGTTAATTAGTCTATGCTACTATGCGCTATATAATACTTTAACACCGTAAATGTGCCCGATTTTTGGCCTTTTGGCTCTATCCTTATAGAAGAGTTTAAAATTTTACCCTTAGCGAAAGTCACCTTCTTGAGAAAAATGGCTCTATTTTCAAGTAAAAGTTTTATCTTTTACTCAGTGGTTATTTCATACCTAAAAGAGTCGATGACTCTTAGATTTCTAACTTAATGCAAGGGATTCAGTGATCAATACATCTTAATGCAAATCCATCACTTTCGATGAAGCTAAGTTTAATTGCCTTATTTTAGATCATTCTAACATCCACGTCCTGTCTAAAAGACGTGTTCTTTCCGTAATTGACAATAATTAGGATGGATGGTTATTATTACCTTATAATCCTGATTTATAACTTTCCTAATAGGACCGTGGTAGGTGCCCCGAACCCCATGAGCGTGATATCCAAAATGGCGAACTGCGTGGCCGGCGGCATCGGCAGTCGGCCGTCCATCGCCATCGCCACCAACATCGACACGCTGCTCACAGCCACCGATAGGGAAGAGAAGATTAACGCGCCCCCAGAAGCTGTACAAGATAAAACCGCATTCATTTTCAATAACTTGAGCCAACTCAATCTTCAGACTAAATGCGAAGAGCTTAAAGAAAGCATAACCGAAGAATACTATCCTTGGCTTTCACAATATCTTGTTATGAAACGGGCATCCATTGAATTCAATTTCCATGCCTTGTATTCTAATTTCCTAGACGTCCTAAAGGCGCGAGAAGTTAATAGGCTTGTCATAATTGAGACTTATCGAAATATCAAAGTGTTGTTGCGTTCCGATAAAAGCATAGCCAACTTTAGTGACCGATCTTTGCTTAAAAATCTCGGCCATTGGTTGGGAATGCTCACGCTGGCTCGCAATCAACCAATTCTTCTCGTTGATATTGACCTCAAAACACTTTTACTTGAAGCTTATCATAAAGGCCAACAAGAACTCTTGTACGTCGTACCCTTCGTAGCCAAAGTTCTAGAGTCGTGCGCGAGGAGTTCAGCATTCAAACCACCGAACCCTTGGACCATGGGATTAATGAACGTGCTAGCCGAACTTCATCAAGAACCTGATTTGAAGTTGAACCTCAAGTTTGAAATAGAAGTGCTTTGTAAAAACTTAAGCTTAGACATATCAGACTTAAAACCAACTCTGTACCTGAAAGATCCTGAGAAGCATAGACTCATCGAATTCCAACTATCCCCACCAAAGATGAATAAGGAACCACCTGTAAATGTTATTCCTATGAATCCAACCATTATACAGGCCCCACAGATGCAAATGATGCCACCTCAGCCACCAATGATTCCTGTCGAAGAAATGACCTTGACCGTACCACCTCCTCCTATTGGCATCGATCCCTCTTTAATGGGAGTCCTTGGAATACCAGAGCCCCGTTTCAATTACTTGGACGTAAATGTCACCTCAACCTCAGCTTTTGGACAAAAAATTTGTTTCAATCATCACATTCTCCTATTCCAAACCTATCCCCATTTGAAACAGTTTGTTAAACCTGCTATCGAAAGGTCTATTCAAGAATGGATTCACCCAGTCGTTGATAGGTCTATTAAATACGCCCTGACTACGTGTGAGCAAATTATCCGCAAAGATTTCGCCCTAGATCCGGACGAGGGACGCATGCGCACATGTGCCCATCACATGATGCGCAACCTGACTGCAGGCATGGCTATGATCACATGCCGGGAGCAGATCATCAGCACCATCAGCACCAACCTGAAAGCAGCCTTCCTCACAGCACTCATGCCTGCTAATCCACAACAGGTAATTAATCATCTTTAACATTGCTTACCACTAACCATGTCTTATGTATTTCAGATAAGTAACAAATGCTTCAAGCATACTAACAACAAAAATGTCTCGTGTTAAATTTGTCCCCTAGCTCTGTCATACTTCATATATACAGTTTTAGATCTAAGCAGATATTACTAACTTTCTGTAATCAGAATTTCCTACTTAATTACTCAATTCCACAATTTTGTGCCACAATTGTGGGTTTTCATCAAAATTGTGGCAAAATTGGGTTTATTAAGTAATCTGATCTGATCTAAATTATCATATCTCGACTTGATTACGAAGTTTCAAGTCACAATGTCAGTAACAATAACCTCGCGATCTACTTGAGTATTTGTTAAGCTTTAACCTAAGGAAGGCGGTATTAATATTTTTCATGTTTTTACCTTAGATTCCTAGGGATGGCTTTCACACATTAACATCTTTCACAACGATCGCCTTGTACAGCAGCAGCAGCTTTTTATTTTATTTTTTGCCGGGGCTGTTTCCGGTGGCAATCGATTATTTATTTGACAGCTTGTGTTCCAGAAGGATATAGTTGAAAGTGCAGCAGCTGTTATAGCAACAGAAAACATGGAATTAGCCTGTGCCTTTATTCAAAAAACAGCCGTTGAAAAAGCATTACCCGAACTTGATAAACGTCTAATGAACGACTATGAAGTTAGGAAACAAGCTAGACTCGAAAACCGGCGTTATTACGACCCGGTTGTACTGTCATACCAAACCGAAAATCTTCCCGAACGAGTGAGACTGCGCATGGGAGGACCAATGGACATGCAGATTGCTGTATATGAAGAATTCGCTTGCAACATTCCTGGCTTCATGCCCGTGAGAGACGCTGGTATGTTCATTCCAAAACCCTCCCAAGAACAAATTCCACAGCTAACTTTTAGCCAAGTTATGAATCCAACTCAAGTGTATGGTACAGATGAGATGGGGGCTTTGATATCAGCTGCCGAGATGTTCCTGTCCAATGCAATGAATACACAGAGTTTTCCGGTTCAAGCTACCAATATGCACACCCTTCTTGAGTGTCTCGTAATTGCAAGAAGAAACCGTGATATTGTATCTGGTTGTAACTTACTGCAGAGGGTAGGTATTTCTTTCTATTTAATAAAGTTAGTATTGATGTAATAGGTACAATCAAAAGCAATTGAATTATTTTAACAGGCTGTTGAAGGCTTACTCGATGGCCACATTATTCAATCTGGAGTCAACGCAGAACACGTTGACCTGATGACAAGATATAGAGATATTCACCTGCGTGTACTTAAGCTCTTGGAAGACGCCAGGGTGTACGGACATGTATGGACCACGAAGCAGATCACCTGCTGTCTAACAGAGTGCAGAGATGAGCTGAGATACAACATTGAAGCCGTTGATTGCCTCATCCGCAATCATCTCATCAATATGCCACAAGTAATAAACAAGTGTTATTAAAAATTACGTAAATATAAACTAAGAAGTAATTTATTTACCCATACAAATATATCTGATTAACTGTTTTTTATTATTTCACTTTACGAGGATATCCTCATATCCAAAATATACAATTTTATACAATTGTTATGTTGGTGGTTTTACTTATTTTTGTTATTTCAGTATGACTTAGCCCTCGCTCACCTGATGGACAATGGTAATAATTACGTAGCTGTAGCCTTCGCAATGCAGTTGGTGCAACTGTATCTAGTTGACGATAGGAACAACATCTTCGTGAACGAATCTGATTTATACCACACGACCGAAACTTTGGTCCGTATCATGGCACATCCCCAACAACCCCCACCGGAGGGTCTGGCGACATTGATCGAAACGTTGAGAATAAATCAAGATCCTAGTGCTTACCTTGGAGAGAGAATGCCACTTGGACCCACAGCGCACATACACGCTGGTATCGCACAAGTCAGGGTAAGTGATTATCAATGATATTTATAGTCGAATGAACAACATCAGATGTTAACTTATAGTATATCTTAAAGTAATATATAAACGGCTCAACACTCGCGTATATTTGTCTGGTTTCGGCACCGACTAATTTCGAGTCTATAATTCATGGCCCTCATGGTGAGTAAGACTAGTATTATTTCAAGGATGCGGCCACTGTACATTTTTTTTTGTCAACAACTATCTTCATTCTAGAACCGCGAATATGACGACCCGCCCGGCCTTCAAGAGAAGACAGAGAATGTGCTTCGCGAATGGCGTACCATGCTTCTCAGCCCGTTGACGGATGTCGAATTTAGCCAAAACTTCAACATTTATGTGCACCGAATGAATATTAACGGAATATTAAAATCTGATGATATGGTCACAAGATTCTTCCGTATCGCAACTCAGATGTGCGTCGAGAATGTGTACCAACTGCTGAACGAGGAAAAAGCCAATCCTCCAGCGGTCCCAAACAAACGGGAGAAATACTACGTAATATGCGACTCTTTCATTAAACTGGTCTCTTTACTTATAAAGAACACCGCCGACGCCGGCAATCCAACACCCAAACTCAATCTGTTGAACAAGGTACAATTTTAATTTAAAATAAAATCTAATTAAAAAATATAATTTGATTTTTTTTAATGATAAATATTTTTTAATTGTTTAAATATAACAATATAATTTCGTTTCTAAAAGTTTTATTCTCATATTGATAGTGTACAATAATAATTAAGTACTTTTCATTATTTAGATCTTGGGGATAATAGCTGGTTGCCTGATGCAAGATCATGATGACCCCGGGCATGAATTCCATCAGCTGCCGTACCACCGCTTGCTGATGATCCTCTTCCTCGACATGAACATGGCTGAACCCGTCTTAGAATCTATGAATTATCAGGTAAATGTATTTTATTTAGGAAGTCCTATCAAATTTCAATTTCTTTTAAAATACAGCATTTTATAAAGATATGACACTATTTCTTTTGTATTTTGTTTTGAATATTACCTTTCCATTCTATTTTGTGGACTTAATAGAATTTGTCCCCGCAGCGTCGTATTTTAAAAATTTATTACTAGAATTGTCAATAAGTTGTGTCAGATAAGTAAAATAAAATAATTCCAATTATGATGGCAAAGTTTGCAATGATGGTTTGTTGATGACTATATGTCCGCGACTCCAATCGCGCGTAATTTAAAATAAAACTTAATTAGTAGCCTATGTGTTATTCCAGGCTATGTTCTATATATATGTCAAGTTTTATCGAGATTCATATAGCCGTTCTGGAGATACCTTCAAAAAAACATCCATCCATCCAAATACAAATGTAAATAACATATTACTTTTATATCGCGATTTATACGCCGCTATAAAGATTTTTTATTTTTTTATTCTGGTTAGGTTCTCACTGCGTTCTGCCATACGCTACGCATTATCCGCCCTAGCGTGGCCCCTGGCTTTTGCTATGCCTGGCTGGAAATACTATCACATCGCGCATTCGTAAACCGAGTGCTCGCTGTCACTCCACAACAGAAGGTAATTATCAAGTCTATGATGTCAACACACCTTTTATATTCATTTATTTTTATTTCTTTATGTTCTTTAATTTTTAATGTTTATTATGTTGGCATTTAGCTCTTTGTGTTTCATGTTTTGTCGTGACCTTGCAAGGAATATTTTAATGTTAAGCGACACGTTTTTTGACACACGTATGTTGTTTGTTACCTTGAAATGAGTCATGATGTTAAGTGGTAAACATTTTGATGCCTTAAAATAAATTAAAGTTGTTTATTGGATTGAAATATTAAAAATAGTAATCGATTTGCAAGTAAATTTGTAAATGTTTAAATTAAAAAATAAATTGATTTATTAAATAAATACAACTTAAATTAATAACTATTAATTACAATTCTTGAGAACAATATGGTTAGGTTATTTTTTATTTATCTTTAGTTCTTGTATATTAATATGATTTAATTTTTAACAATTGTATATTTACTATGTTACTAACCCTTTGCCTTCACAGCTAATGCGTGTCTTACTGACTTAAACATTGCCTTAAAGTTATACCATTGTTTCATTCAGGGCTGGGGAATGTATTCAACGCTGCTCATAGATCTATTCAAATTCCTGGACCCATTCTTAAGAAACACAGAACTAGCTCCCCCCGTCATGGCGCTTTACAAGGGGACACTTAAAGTGCTCCTTGTATTGCTTCATGACTTCCCTGAATTTCTTTGCGATTATCACTTCGGTTTCTGTGATGAAATACCCCCCAACTGCATACAAATGCGGAACTTGATACTATCGGCGTTCCCGCGCAATATGAGACTGCCGGACCCCTTCACGCCCAACCTGAAAGTGGACCTGCTCTCCGAGATAGCGCTGTCGCCCCGAGCAGTCATCAACTACGCAACAATTATCCCCATTACACAATTCAAGAAGGATCTGGACGCTTACCTCAAAGCCAGGACCCCAGTTACCTTCCTTTCTGAGCTAAGAAGCAACATGCAGGTATGTACGTCTTACTAAAATAAACATTACACACTGGTAAGTACATACTAACAGGTATGGTGACATTAACATGCAAGAATCTTGGAAACTTTTTTGTTGTTGTTTTCCTAGGTTCTTAATCACTTTGTTATGGTGTGGTTGACATTTGGGAATCTCTGCGCATATCCTTTTTATATATTATTGTAATTTATAGCACTGATTTTTTTTTAGTTTTTGTCCATATCAAGGTAAATGTTAATACGCAATTGTTGAAAAAGGATAAAGATTTTATTGAATTTTTAATATAATTTGTGCTTGGTAAGTATTTGGTAATGTACGCTAGGTAAATTGTGATAAAATGTTTTTTTCCCTTTAGGTTTTTATTTTATATTCATTCATTAATTAACGGATTACTAAAGGTGAGTTTCAAATCTATTTAAATATGGACGCATATTAAATCATTCACATAGTATTTTTATTGATAGAGTTGTAAGCTAATAAATTGGTTTAAAGAGAAATAACATGACTAAGAAGAACATGAACTACTTCAATGCCATTTAAAAAAAAACATTCAGCACAAACTCGCGAAACATCTTAGGTTTTATGCATGTCATTTTTTAATTTTAACATTTTTACTACAATTTTTTTATTTTTTGATAAATATTTCACATTTATATTAAGTTGATTTTTTTTTAAAATTAAGTCTTCAGTCTCTCTAATTCATAGTAGTGAACTTTTTATATTATTATGAGATATTAGGAACCAAATATATTTAGAATTTGAGGATACGCAGTGATTGCCAAACTGCTTTATATAATAACTAACAAACTAATACATAATAAAACATGCCGTGTTTTTGCCAAATGCTTGCACTGTAAATGTAAATATGTACTAATTGTAATATAAATATATATTATCACAAGATAATAGTATTAACAATAATTAAATTACGACTACTAATTTAATAAAACTTATTATTACAAAATTAATTACAACTAATTTATTATAACTAAATATTATAAAATAATTTAAACAACTAATTGGTGAATGGAAATTACTTTTTTACATCTGTTTTTAATATTATTTTAATTTTTATTTTATAAGTTATTTGGTTTTAATTTTTAATTTTTTTCAATACAGTTTAACATTTCTATTATTAAATTTTATTCAGTTGTTTTCCCTATTACAAATTGATATATAAATGGCTCATAAAGTGGTCCTTTTAAAAAGATAATAATACTACTTGGTTCGAATCCGAGTGAATATTTTAGAATAAAGTTCTAAATGCTAGGGCGGATTTGTGTTCGTCCGAATGGTTGCTTGAGCCCGTTAAAGTTCCCGCAGGTGGTTAACGAACCCGGTCGCCGTTACAACACGCACCTGTTGAATGCTGTGGTCCTGTACGTCGGAGCTCAGGCGATCGCCTACATCAGATCCAAGGGGCAGACACCAAACATGACGACCATCGCCCACTCTGCTCACATGGATATATTCCAGAACTTCACAGTCGACTTTGATTATGAGGGACGGTAAGTAATTTGTCATAAACTTCTTTTTTTTAGCAGTGGATAGAGCCAGCTGACGCCCGCGACTCGACCAGGGAGTTAAAAAAAAACTATGATCTACATCTAAGCCAAATTTCAGCAACATCCATGTAGCCGTTCTAGAGATACCTTCAAACAAACATTCATCGCACATTCACATTTATAATATTAGTAAGATTGTGTTTTGATTTTAGTTATCTGTTCTTCAACGCAATCGCCAATCAGTTGCGCTACCCGAACAGTCATACGCACTACTTCAGTTGCTGCCTATTATATCTGTTCGCGGAAGCCAATTCTGAAGCTATACAAGAACAGATCACTAGGATGCTACTCGAGAGGCTGATTGTGAACAGACCTCACCCATGGGGCCTCCTTATCACGTTCATCGAACTCATCAAGAACCCAGTCTACAAGTTCTGGTCACATGAGTTTGTTCATTGCGCGCCTGAAATTGAGAAGTAAGTAAAATTAACATAACAATAAAACCCGAATTCGACGACAATTTGCTTCTAACATTTGGTTTGGCTCTGATAATATAAAATGTCGTCGTCGGGCAACTTTCTAACAACTGCTTTAAAGGAAAGAGGTTTTTGATACCATTTTGTGATATGCTTTTGATTCTAATGTTCAGCCATATTGGTTATCATATATAATTCGTGTTGAAGTGAAAGAGAACATTGTACGTGAGTATCATCTCATTATTTATTCTTGTATTTTGATTATATTTTTCTATAAGCTTGTGGTTTCTATATCCATTATCTAGCTTTTATTTTATTTTTTTCTTTATTTCAACATGCATCCTAGTTGAAATTGTTATATATTGCTGCTTTAAAATAAGTTTTTCTATAGAATGGAGTATAATACGCGTAGGGAATTTTCTGAAAACAACACAGATATATATAAAATCTTCACTTTGCACGCTTTAAATATAGACTTCTAGAGAAAATTAATCGACCTTAGTTTACAGGCCATTTTGTTATTTATTCCGTTGTAATAGAGTCAAGAATTTTAACATCTCTAGAAAAGTTAGTCGTCATTAAAAAGGCGATGAATGTAACTATATTTCATTAATAGCTAGACAAAAATTTGCGTATCAAATTGTTTCAGTTAGGAACCATAATATTTAATTTTAAATATACTAGAAATTACGAATGGCCTGTTTATTCTAAAAGAAATTAGGACCAATCATTTGTTTACTGTAAAGTAACTTCTATAGGAAGGTATCTATTGACTTTTAAAAAGTTTTTAAAATAATTAGCATAAGCACGGTATTTTGATTTACAAGCCTGTTTTAATTTTCTATAGGAGCATTTGCTGCGCATTATATTCGCATTTGCGAATATTTTGATCCATATCGATTAGTCAAGCGTTGCGCGAATTTTACAATTTCATACAAAACACACACGTGAACTTCTACAATCATATCCTAGTGTTCCAAGTACCCTTTTCCTACTTCCAGATGTAACCCGCTCCATCTTGGCCTAGATATCGTATCCTAAGTAAACAATAATATATCGGGGCTTACCTGCATATTTATATGACATACCAAACACGCTGACCTTTTCCGCTTCCAATAATTGAAGAATTTTCCGTCTTTATGTAGGTTAAAAAATAAAAAAAACTTAATTATAATTGTCTCAAAATACCAAAACAAGTCTTGCAAAACGACTATAATAAAATACCAGTCAGGCGTGTTCCAAAGATGCATACCTTAATACCTAAATGATAAACAATCAATAATAAAGTCATAAACAATATAATATAAGGAACGATTATTATTTATTATGATAAAAAAATACGTGGTGAAATAAAAGGGACGGTAAGAGAGACGGTAAAAGACGAAGAGACGGTAAAGAGGTCGTTCGTTTAAAACTTTCCCTAGATATTTAAGAAGAAACATTACAAGACAGAATATTTTTACTTATGAATGCCTCGCTATAAATAGGGACGGAAATAAAACACAATTCTAAATACATATTTATTGTCAGCAAATATGTCTTAGAATAACATATATAAGCTTCTGTGATAGTATTCAAAAGCTTTTAAAATTATAATATGTTTTATATCATTGGCATGTTCATATACACGTCTGAAATTTGTAGTTGAACATCCAGTCATGCCATTCATTGTTTTTGTTTCTTTGATTAATTTTGGACATCTTTGTCTCTTTCCTATCGTCCTTCCTTCGAAAATTCATTCTCTGTCATGCCTGCTATTTACGACGATGGGCTCACCACACATTGATGATTATTAAAGTAATTTTTCTACTTATTCTTGTTAAGATTTGCAATAACGATTTTCCGATTTAATAATAATTCTGTCATATTTTTGATATAACCGAAATATACGCATCAAAATATGACTAAAATAAAGCTCTATGAAGGATATCAAACATTTCTTTCCAACATACTGCTTTTAATTTCCATTAAATCTTATAAATTGACATTGCTTCAATCATAAATTGTTATAAAAGAAACGATTTTGGAATATGCAGGATTTGTAAGGAAAACTTTTTGAGAATGAACCAACAAGAAATAGATAATTAAAAAGCATTATATATAAGAAACGCTAAACGATCTCGAAATAAGACCCCAAGATGACATGGTATTCGAAAGTTGGTTGGCGAGAGCGAGTTTGGTGTGCGCTACGTACGCGACAAAGATACTACCACCGCGCAGAGTCCAGCCATCGTTTGCCTGTACTGACTACACTACTAATTGACGGCGAACATCTTCAATATCCGTTACCGCATTCACCTTTGCTTCATCCTCTCCTCTTATCCTAATAACAGACATTAAGGTGTGTGTCTTGTTTAATAATGTACGTCTATGTATTCTTATTGTGGATGTTAAATATATAGGTATGTGTATAATATATAGTACTTGAGCATGATTGTGAATTTTGAAAAAGAAATAGCTTACATCTTCGTACGCTTTTGTGATGGAGTTATGCGATGCTTTGATGCGCGGAGGTGCAATTGTAACAGGGAGCTTGCGGTTTGTGTAGGTTGTTTGCGTCGGTTGCCCACTCTTGCATCGCCGAGAAGGGATCTGTGGGCGAGCGGGAAATGGCCGAGTAGCGGCGCGCCGGCTGGGAGTCCTTGAGACACCAGCACGACTTCAGTAGCATAGTTAACCAAGGTACTATATATACATATATCCTAAGTGTGTCTAACAATAAAAGTACGATTGTACGGCTCCTACAGTGACATGTAAACTTTATGGCGGCTCGCACCACAAGACTGGCACCACCTGGCATCCACTTGGAAATGTGAGTTTGCAGCTAATCACGAGCCGCCTTAAACTTTGAAACTTGTAATACCATCGTACTTTATCAGGGTGCTAGTGGGCTTAAATTTCTTTATATATTATATTAACACTGTATACTTAAGTAATATGTAATATTTGTTATATTAATTTGTAAATTTAATGTTACAGGCTTGCCAAGCGCCGCAATGCCACCAGCGACCACCAGCCAGCCCTCCACCTCGTCCGCTCTGCCCAAGCAGTGGAACCAACTGTTCAAGTAAATCCTTTACAAGGTTTTAACTTTAATGTTGGTGAGGGTCAGCAGACTATGGTGAACTCGCAGCCCAAGTGAAAGTGAAGTGATGTGACACTGTGTGTGATTGTGATTTCAATTCAACAATTATTTAGTATAATAAGATGGCCATGATAAACATTACATTGTAATCAGTACAGGCACGGACAACTTTAGATTTAAGTAAATTTATTGTCATTTTGGGGTCTCCATAGGACTGTTAAAATTGGAGATTCAGTAATATACTATAGTAAGTAATATACTTCACTTAAAATGTGAACTTGTCAACTTATGTAAACAATAGATATTGGAGATTTAGTAATATACTATAGTAAATAATATACTTCACTTAAAATTTGAACTTGTCAACTTAGGTAAACAATAGATATTGGAGATTTAGTAATAAATTATAGTAAATAATATACTTCACCTAAAATGTGAACTTGTCAACTTATGTAAACAATAGATATTGGAGATTTAGTAATAAACTCTAGTAAATAATATACTTCTCTTAAAATTTGAACTTG